ATCAGTTACTACAACTACACGGTCAAGTTTCAACACGGAATTGAATAAAGGTAACTCGTAATCTGATTGGCTTCTGGCGAATTTTTCTTGAATGGTTTCCTGGCTCGTGACACTTTGAAGATATAAAACACAGCTGTGACAAAAATAATTTGATTACGTTCAGTTTATTTCATGGTGTGTTAAAAAGGTTCACAAGATATAAATAATCAACTATTTATACTTAATGAATGGCATTTAACGTTTAGCGACTTAAGAAGATAAAGATCCAAACGAAAATTTTAAATACTTTCTCAACTTTCCCGAAAAAAATCAAACCTGAATCAAATCTCACTGGGGTAAAAACATAACTTAAAAACTCATAAATCATACCAGAACTCCATTTTTTCCGAAACCATTTGACATCGAATTCTGTTTTCCCACACACACATGTTTCCACCCCCAGCAGGTTTCCTGCAGCCGGGCAGTCTCGCCACCCTATCAGCTAGGAACCAGTTCCTTTTTACGGTTATCTTAGCTTATGTCACAAGTGTTCATTTCCGCCTATTTTCTGAAAGTCGCATTTAAAAAAGAGCAAGGAGCTTCGTCGTCCTCAATTCAATCACAATACTCGATCAAGAGTTGGCTTATATTGCTTCCTTAGAAGAACTAGTCGATTCTCTACGATGCAACATTTTAAAGTATTGTTAGTTCTGTTGTTTGTGGCTGCTGTTAGCGTTTCTCTCACCCAGGCGTGGACCATGAACAATAAGAAAGTTGGAAAACGTAAGCAGCTTTTACTATTTAGTTGTCACAATCAGTTTAGCCCTGTGAGTTGTCAAGTGCAGAGTCTCGTTTTCTCGACTGAACTGTGTTGATTGTGGTGAGGGTGACTGTATCAAAAAAGAAGGAATACATGTAGCATGTGTAGTAAGTGTAATATTTGTCGTAACGTTACGTAGTAGCTGCAGTTGAATTGTAGCTGCTATCCTGCGGGAAGTGGGGGAGGGGGGGGGGGGGGTGGAACACTGTCTACGATGTAAAATATTAATTGTAGAGTAGCTGTAGATTCGGTCGATCGCACATTCTACGCTTTCGCACGGAAACAAATCCATTAATTAGTAGCAAAGACTGCGTCATTTTCCTCGGTGGTATAATGGTGTGTCTACACTGTAGCTGTGGTAACTATAACAGCTGTAATACGTGTACTAGGAGTAACTGTAGTTTCTGTAGTGTGTCTAATAGCTAATAGAAACTTTAGAATGCGTAATAGCTCAGGTAGTAACTGTAGTACATGTATAGTAATAACTGTATGTATAGCGGCTGTAAAAGCTGTAGTTCCGCCGCGCAACCGTATGGCGACTGAAGCAATGTGTTACTACAGCTATTACGTCAGTGTAAGAACTCGGTCAACTGTACTCTTACGTGCTGTCGCTCATGACAAGCGTTTGGGCTGCAATCACAGAAAGTTATACACAGCAAGGATGTGTAATGTAGTCAGTCAAACTCCCTCTGTTCGTTATATTGTAGATTGTACGGTCTATACCTTTTTTTGGCCTTACACCTGGCTTAGATTGGAAGGAATTGTGTAAAGAGTGGTCAAGATTGTACTTTTGTTTCACTTTGGGTTTTTGGCCTGTCGAGTTCTTAACTGGTTCTCTGTCCAGACACAGCTAAAAGGTCCTATCAAGAAGTACCACAAGTCAAATTCAAATTCTAATATACGTCCGACAACAGGTCACATGTTTTTTCTTTACTATTATTTCCGATTGGTTTATTATCAGTACACTATTCGTCGCTGAAAAAATGATTGACTGACGGAAATGAACTGTCCAATTTTGTCAGTCTGTCTTTAATTTTAGACATGCGATGTTTAGATAAGAACTTAATTACTGAACACAGTGGAACAAAGATGGTTCAATAACCTGGTTCATGTTGATTCACTCTCCGCGAGAAGTCTTTACTGCATTGATGGGAAGCACTGGACAGGCGCTGTCCTATCCCTCTGGGGGGACTGGAGACGAACGTCTTTGTTTTTCTCAACGTCATGTTTTTTCCATATTAGGTGATAGCAAGGAGCCTGCCCGAGAGGAAAACCGGCTAAGAATGCATGATGGGGCGGCAAGGCTGAAAGCAAGACGATTCCACGTTGAAGAATGGAACAGGGCTTAAAACTATAAATGAAGTTGTAAAGGAAACGTAAATTAAACAAAGTTACTGGTCGCAAGTTGGAGAAATACTCATATTCCTCACTTTTAGATCAACATGTACTATCGCCATGAATGACCACACCACAAACAAAATCCAGTGGACTAAAACACGATCCCTTGTTTTCGGTTTGAGGGCGGGGAAATGCACCCTGAGCGTGCAATGTCCTGCGTTTAAGACTTGTCAATCTTTGTTACGTTCAACAATGTGGCCTTATTTACTCAGAAGGACGAATCATACCTCTTAAATGAATAGTGCATCTAAAACAAATGCGTGTGGGTAAATACGCAACGTTTAAAACTCGTGTGTTGACAAAAGCTCTTGTGAGAGAAACTGTTGGTCGCTTGATTACGCGTTATAGTTCTTTCAAGGTCAAGCTCGTCTTTTTCCTGCGTCTCGTGTTTTCCAAGACGGATTATACGTCTAAGAAGTAAACCGCTGCGTCTGTTTTATGCGTCTCCTGGACCCGTAAAATTGTTAGTTTATCGTTTGACGTTGTATGCTTCGTATTTTGCGTGCTTATCCAAGCGCATAATATTTCTTGGACGCATTATTCGTCTGCCTGGGTTCTTGAGTACGGCCAACGTCTTGTCGTAATCTTTTGGCACTTAAGTTCATAAGTTATATTGCAGAAAAATATTAAGAAAATTAGCACAAACTTTTCTAGAGAACAAGAATTGAATTGATCAAATTTTTTTCTTTTGAAATTGTATCCATAATGAGTCGTTTTTATTGCTTCAGCGGAAAAACATTTAGTAGGGACTGTCGCAGCGTTTACTCGAGATTCTCTCAAACAACACCAACCCAGTTTCGAAGGGAAAAGCACTGGTAACGAGATTGAAACAACACCTCGAGACAGAATTTTTTGTCTTATTACAGAATACATAAATTTTCATGCTTCTTTTAGGATCTTATCACCAAAAGATTTTAAGAGATTTTCTTAGCAACAGATTGATTAGCAGTGTTTCGTCACCGTATCCAAGCATTACTATGAGGTCAAACATCCTCGCTCCCCCCCCCCCCCCCCCCCCCCCACTAACTGCCCGTAATAAAGAAAACTAAAATGGAATAAGACTGAGAATGCCCCCAAAAATTACCTGTACACTTGCCATTTTTGTAGAGCATGAAATAAATGCTCATTTACCATGATGGCCAAGCCAATGAAAACTCTTGAATTGCATTATCTAATGATCCAGTTTTTAATAATATTGTATAATCCATGTAGTACTTTGGTTAAATAATTATCTTCCAAGATAAATAATCACCTTGCTAACCAAATAAAATCAAACAAACAAACAAACAAATAACAAAAAATACAAATAGCGGTCGTAACGTTTCCTAAAAGTGAAGGCAAAATGGACGTATACAAGGCTGAAGAAAAGGATAAAGGCTTGTTAGTTTTTGTGATTAACAAACAGCCTACACTGTTTTTAAGATGGATTTATTCAAAGTATCCGCCATGATTACTTTGAGCATAAAGACACTGGGTAACTCAGTAAATGCCTTAAAATTCAATAATCACGCCATGAATGGAAATCGAAACCGTGCGAAAGTAAATATTATTTTCTATTCCGTAATTTCAATATTAAATATACTCATTAATTCCTGGTTCCCTATCTATTCTTATATAATGTCGTCTCGTTACTGAACTCATCTTGCATGAATGTAGTCAGTGTAATTCCTGATCCAAAATTCTATCGAAATCAGTACTAAACCACCTGGATTTAGAATCTAGCCACGAACGGCCAGTTTCCTATTACAAATAGAATTTTCCCTTTCAGTTGTCTTTCAATCCATATTCATTGTCCTATTATCGAAAGCTCCCACGATTGGCCTCCTCTCTACAAAACGGCCAATCAATTCTTTTTTAGGGTGGCCGTTGTAGGCGTTGTTAAACAGTGAAAAAAAGGACTATGTAAAAACGGCACAGTGCACAAAATCTCTTGCTCTAAAAATTATTAAACAATTTTCTATTAACTAGATATGAGAACGGTTCTATGGCTTAAAGCTGAACAATAAACCAAGCTTTCAGCCTTTGGTTATCATAGTTTGACTGAAATGATGATCAATCCTGCCTATAGATCATCCATTTTCTTACAAAATTGAATGCTGAAATTCGGTGGTGATAATCACGATTACAAAATGGTTTGAGAATTGTTTTACATTCTTTGAATGGAAATCGCAACCTCTTATAGATTATTGATTTGTCTGTAGTATTGTAGGTGTGTTCCAATAGAAATTACTATTTGGGTCACGTAATGGGTCTGTCATATGTTGTGTAAACATCCGGGCAATGTGCTGCAACTTAAGCATCCATGTCGTCGACGTTTTGGTAAAGCTGACTGTCATAGTCTTTGAGATTGATGTATATCTGAAAAAAAAAAAAAAAATTTCATTTAACTCAGACTTATTATATTATGTTATGTTATGTTATGTTAGGTTAGGCTAGGCTAGGCTAGGTTATGCTATGTTATGTTATAGATTACATTACATTACATTACATTGCATTGCATTGCATTGCATTGCATTACATTACATTATATTATATTATATTATATTATATTATATTATATTATATTATATTATATTACACATGTATGAACATAAGCGTTGTGGTAATGGATAAGAGAATGAAATGAGCTGATGAGCAAATAATGAAAAAATGAAAAACGGAACAATAAGATGAAATAAATATCATAAATAACAAAAACAAGCAAACAATGGAGTTAAAAAAAACTTAATGCACGTTTAAAGTCGTGTGTATGAAGTTAATGTCTCAAAAGATAAGTGGGTTTGGCGAGGTCTTTAATTTGTAAAGAATAACTGTCTACACCTCTCTTTTGTTGCCCATTGCTTTCATGATTTTACGCAGCTTTGAAAATGAAGGCCGTTCTTCAGGCTTTTCGTTCCAACAGGAGCTCATAACTTCATACCTTTTAAACAACAAACAAACCAAGTTGTACTAAATTAGTCCATGTAACAGGCGTTTTTTTAAGTGTTGAGTAACTCAAATTGGAAGTCCAAATCTACGGTCGAAATCTTATCTAAATATGACCTCTCAAAATCTTGTAGCAGCTCAGATTTCTAAAGAATTTACTTTTATTGCACTTCTCAGAAATATGTGTTTGTTTATTCATAGATTCCCCAGTGTAGGCTAAATCTGCGTTCGAACCCATCAGGCCATCGCATCTCCGCTTTCTGTAGTATCAAGCTGCAAGGAGTATTTCTAATCTCCCACCCCCCGGGTGAGATGCTAATCCATCCCAGGGTTACCCCAGGATTTACTCCTCTGGTATCCATTTAGGGACGGACCATTAGAAAAGTGGTGGGGGGGGGGGGGNTGAGAGAAGAATTGAGTGAGAGACTTAGGGGACAGACCATTAGAAAAGTGATGGGGGGGTGAGGGAAAAGCAAAAAACAATTCATACAGGGGAGGGTGACTGAAAAAAAATCGTGCAAAGGAGAAGTGAAGAAAAAAAATCCTGCAGAGTGAATTGCACTCTCGGGTCTACAAATTGTACTCGCCTGAAGGGCACTTCATAAAGCAATTTTAATTTCTTGGTCCTGGCGTAATCCCCATTCACCTGGTTTTCTCTACAAATTAGGAAAACGGACATTTTTCCCTTTTAAGGCTGATACATTTTGTGCGCAGCAACCTCATCATGGACACTGCTAGCCAACATCCTTGCAGAAGAAACCCTTACAGATAACCACGGCTTAAAAGTGATTTTAAAAAAAAAACAAAAAAACAAAAAAACAAAAAAAAAACGTGCTATAAACAGCCATCCTGCGTTTGCAATTAAGGAAGCACATACCCTGTTTTAAAAGCCTCGACATATATCATAGGAGTGATTTCACAACTGACATGTATAAATAATGATTGTGGACACAGATGTGCGCACCCATGGCAAACCGTAACACTTCCCCTAAGATGGCCTCTAAGATCAACGTTGGACAAACGTCGGAAAAGACGGAGGTGTTAACACAACTGATGCGTTTAGTATAGCTGTTTCAATCTCTTTTAGGTTTTTGACAAAGTAAACGACGCATTATCATTCAAATCCAATCGATACATCGGCTGAAAATTGTGGAAAACGTACCAAACACGCTTCAATTTTGCAAAATTTTCTGGGGGGCATACCCCTGGACACCACTAACCTGATATCATGGTTACTGGACGGCCACTCACAGAATCCTAGCTAAAACCTTGATTCACTGCATGCCAAGCATGAATTTTATTAAAAGGGGAAGGAATCAATAAAATTGTTATTTCCCTAGACACCAAATAAAAAATGCAACGCAACCCCATCGGTTGGGCAATAGCCGCTTATAATTGTGTCTGATACGTACTTGGTTGTTTCCTACTGAGTATAATTTTCACAGTTAAGACAAACGACTGTGTGAAAGATAAAAAAAATATTTGTTTGAAGCCTGTTCCAGGCTATTAGATTGTGGTGAGTGAAGATTAAGATTGCGACAGTAGATTATCAACCCCNTAAAAAAAAAAAAAAGAAGAAAAAAATATTCCTGCACTAGACTTGACTCCAAAAAAAATATCCTGCAGAGGCAGTGGAAGTGAAAAAAACATTCCTGTAAGCTGAAAAAGTCCCACCTCCCTTCCCCTTCTCCCCCAGTCACTTTTCTAATGGTCCGTCCCTTATGCATCTGGTCGGAGAGAAGCAATGTGAAAGAAAGGCCTCTTGTTTAAGAGGCCAACACCGTGAACCAGGGCAGAGCTCGAACCCGTATGGCTCGATCGAATCGCAGCGCACTAACACTTCAGCCACCACGCCTCTTCACCACAGGGAAGGTACTTACAATTTTTCATCTAAATGTGGAGGCCTGGGCATTCTATAACCCTCCTGAAGTAAAGAAGCTAAAGCTTTTACGTCGATCTTCGGATATGGTGAACCTCCTGTAAATCAAACAATCGAACAGTGTGATCAGTATCATGAACGCCGCTTAAACTGGCTATTACTTAAAAATAAACCCCAACTTAATCCTAATCAAATTGATAGTACAGCTGTGGCAGAACTAAGTTTTCAACAGTTCGGCCAAGATGAATGAAAGTTCATCCCTTGGTGAACTAATGCTGCAGTTAATTATTTCACTTATTATTGATTAGTGACGATTTTTATTTTTATTTCAGTTATTTACATTACTGAGGGAAGTGTGACGGTGATTCTCTCCTCTGTGAGCGCCCTTAGGAAGTAAACGAGTCTACCTCAATAACTCAGTACACAGAACTAGCTATTTACACGTGCTTTAACAGAGTAGTTAAAATAGCTGAACGAGTTTCCTTCTCCTCCATCTCATCGATACACTATACAAAATAATGGTTGAACAATCATATTCCTCTTCAAATTTTCCATAATGATAATAATAGACCAGTTTACAGTTGTCTGCTCAGTGACATGGCCTTTGGATGGCAGCGAGGCTGGGGTTGACCTTGTTTTGATACAAGCCTCACTGCTTTTGTCATGTAAATGCACCTAGTTAGCATCAGAACAACTTGTTTTACACAACAAAAGCAGAGAGGTCTGTATCAAAACAAGGTCAACTCCAGCCTTGCTGCCATCCGAAGGCCAGGTCACTGAGCAGACAACTGTAAAATGGTCTATTAACAGAATCAACTGGTAGCAATAAGACTCAGTGCTACTCGAGTCTATCTGCACATTCCTTACCACCCAGGTCCATTACAACTTAAACTTTTTTATAGTGTTATATTGCTTTGTCTTCTTTAAATACAATAAGGCTGTTTCTCTCACCTATGGTAAATATCTCGTACATTACGATTCCATAGCTCCAACTATAAAGGAAACAAAAAGTAAATTATGTGCATAATTTTGTTGGAATTCAATCAATTGTTTCAAAGCAGGCGTTCACTTACATGTCACTCATAGTCGTGCAGATTCCATATACCAAGGATTCAAACGCTGTCCATTTCACCGGGAGGCGACCCTACAGGTAATAAGATAATTCACAAAATTTATTTATCAACTGACAGGGCACTGGAATATGAAATGCTCATTATTTTGTACGTGTAATTGGGCCATATAATAATTATGTTGGCCTGATCGAATTTTGGTAAGGTTTGAATTTTTTTTTTTTTTTTTTTTCCATTTTTGAGTTGGGAGATATAACAAAACCTGTTAATTATACTGCGCACGGAACTATCCAAGTTCCTACATAATTTAAGATTTGGATGTTTCAAAGGTAACACGAAAGGTAAAAGGTACGTAAGCTGACGAAAAAATTAATAAATAAACGTTTTACCGTTGCTGTTCTCCGGTAAAGATCTTCTTGGAATACATTCCTCGCCAAACCAAAGTCCGTGATCTTACAGACCTCGCCATCTCCTACCAATACATTTCGCGCAGCAAGGTCACGATGCACTATCTGCAATCATTTAAACAATCTTGATTACTGAATAAAAAGTAAGAAGAAATGCCTAATGCCGAACTGTTTTACACAGTAGTAAGAAAGTGAGAAAACGTTTCGCAAAATCCATTAGAAAGTTTTCACTCAAGTGGCCAGCAGCCATGCAAGTTTTATTGGAGAAAAAATTGTGATTACATAAAAAAGAGCGAACACCCACAAGATTGTTTTGCACACCAACATGACCGCCTTTTCAGTGTTTCGGAACACCAATATGGCTGCCGTGACGTCATGTGAAAACGCTTTATTAGTTCTCAAGGCCTACTTCAGGTTCTTAGAGTTATCGAAATCACTTATCTTAGTTTAATTCGCGCGTGTAACGAAACAATTCTATCCCCTTTTACTGTCTAAATACATTAGCTTTCACGACACGTCGATTTGGAAGGGCATATTATGTACATGTACCTTTTTTGATGACAAAAACTCCATGCCATTAGCAATGCCCAGAGCAAAACCAAATAGCTGCTTGGATCTCAGAGAACTTTGCGGTTTAAAATCAGGGTCTTTATAATAGGTGTCGTGGAGTCCACGGCTCTTTCTCAGATATCCTAGAAGGTCTCCATACGGAGCATACTCCGTTATCGCCATGACAGGATCTGACAAAGAAAATACGCACTATTTGAGACCATGTTGTCAGCAGGAGATAACTGTTTCAACGTAGAACTGGTTTCGGAAGTAATGCGGTTCTAAACTAAAAAGCACCCCACTGGAGTACAAAATAATACCACCTTTTCATTCGGTTTTCATCTTTTCATTTTACGGTACATGCAATTGTAAAGTCCTGGTCCAGTATGACTTCACCCTAAACTTATTTATGTGTCATCCAAATTAATTTCCTAATATTGTTTTGTAAAGTCAAACAAGAGAAAATAAGGTGGGCTCAGATCGTGGTCTCTTGAGTCAAATCAATGTTTCAAATTTCATAGTTCGATTGACCTTCCTACAAAACGTCAATAATCTGCATTGCTGAGATGAGATATGGAAGCAATTTCAAAAGAGTTTACTCGAATTCTCTAACCTGACTAGCTAATAAAAGGTCCACAAAATCAACAGACCAGTCGGGAAATATTATATTGCCCGTGAACAAACTACCGACACTCTATTTCGACCTACGCTATTTTTTATATCGCTATCTATTCAATGGATACGTTAAATGTGTCGCTAACTCGATTTAAATGCGTCATTTTAAATAACGAACGACAAAAGTGCATTACCTGAGATATCCATCATTTTTATCACTCATAACAAGAACAAGGACGCAAGAAAATTGTCACACCTGTCTTGGTGACGCAACCAAGTAATTGAATGACATTTTGATGTGGTTCAAGGTTCTTCATCAGGTTCAGTTCAGAAAGGAGATCTTGTCTGTTTTCGTCGGTAGCATTCTCTGCAGAGTATAACAGCGCATGTTTTATATATTATAGCAATGTCCCATGTAAAAGGAAATCTATGTTTAGACTATAACCGTAATGGAAGGTACGATTACAGAAACACAGACCAGTGAAATTGTTGTCATAGCCCTTATGGAGCCACTCGCTCCAAAGAACTTTGATCAAGACTTGTTCTAAGAAAATGCGTTTCAGGCTAACATTCCGGTGAATACTGATCATGATCTGTTTACCAACTGTGTGACTGGCTTTTTCAAGGTTATTATATGACTGAGGAAATTACTTCATTGTGATTGGCTGAGAGAAGGCCAATTTATAGTTAATTCTTAAACTGCACTGCAGTGCCAATAAACGCGCGCTCGTTACGCATTTCATAAATGAGTAATCGTATGAAAGATCGAGAAATTAAGGAGTTACACTACTACGTTAGATGTCATAGACAAATGTACACACAAATTAAGAATTCAAAACAAATTAGCATCGTACTTCTCAACATTTTGATGGCTACAAGTCGACTCTCTTTGCTGTTGTCAATCCCCGTTGCCATGCCCTTAGCCACCTTGCCAAACGCTCCTTTACCGATTACCTTGACGAAAACGAGGCTTTCTCTGGGGATCTCCCAGTTCTTCTCGGATGCATTTGGAAGTACAGGGGGTATCACACTGTATTCCTGAGGGGTTAGGTCGAATGGCTCATTTGTAGGTGTTGCCCTTCCAGAGTCTGTGTAGCTTGAGGACCCCCAGTTTTGCTGTAGCAAAAAAAAAAAANAAGAGCCCGTGCTCCTCCTCTGAAGGCACTTAGATCGGACTCGAGAGAGCGGCGGAAATAGAGCCTACATGCGCAGCTTACGCAGTTGTCAAGATCCATGTAATGCCTGAAAAAAAAAAAAAAAAAAAAAGACTTGATTTGATGCAGAAGAGACTCTTTCCTGGAAACCAAAGATATAACCGCTCGACTCTAGATGGGTTTGCTTTGGTTTTTATCATGGCACGAGTACATGAAATGTCAGGTGAAAAAACGAAGTTAAAAAGAAATATGTTTCATACTTCCATACTATTCTATGAGAAGTGGGACGTTTTGTCACTTCCTTATGCTGGTAAGACCACAGACTAAGTTTCCACGGAGAACACCGTGATTTTCTTCTCTTTTCTTTTTCTTTTTCTTTTTTTTTTCTTTTTTGTTCCGAACTATACACATATACTTTACTACTTACCAGCTCAATTGCCTCCACGTCATGATCGGGCTCAAGCGTTTGAGAGTTACTGTCAAGTAAATTACACAAGCATTTTAAACTTTTTACCTGCAGGACAAATAGGAATCTATAAAACATGTTCCTCACCGCAGCCCCGATACTGAACAGAACAACGATAACATTGGATAAAAAATATAATGACTCAACATTGACACCATGTCAGGAGCCAAATCGGAACAATCTAGCAGTACCGAGATACAACTGTACGTCGAGGAAATCAAGTTATAAGTCTCAACAACCAGTGAGAACATTACAAAATGTACGTCTTCGATTCCGGTCTCCTTTTGCCTCGTTAACTACATGTAGAGATTCTGCTTGTGTTCGTGCCTCTCATTTTGACTCTTTTCGACTCGTATCTAAATTTTAAGTTCTCTTAAATACCCCTTTCTGCACACTTTATACACTCTGATTCTCGTAATTCGGGGGCCTTTTGGTGTAATAAAACTGTAAATATATACGTAGTAATCGTATTTCAGTAAACAACTATAAATATATGGGTATCAAGCATATTAACACTAATCGAGTTTCAATTAAATNTACCACGACGTTTGCCCCAAGAGCAGAGACAGTCCACCGCTCGTCAGACGTTTTATTACAACTTTCTAGTTACACACGATTTGTAAAACTAAATTTGAAACCTTACATAGTGTCGCTTAGGGATTTGCTGGGCTGCATTATTTTGAGAATAGAATAATAAAGGAAGTGGATTATTGCAAAGCGATATCAAAATCAACGTCATTAAATTTCCAGGGATACCAGGAGTTACAATAAGGAAGACAATTGCATGACCATTTGAACTAATGACTTGCCTGACACTATCAACATTGTAGAGTTCATAATTGACTGTTCTCCTTCAAACGTCAACTTGCATCCATACCGTCCACTGTCACTCGTTTTCACGTGAACCAAAGTAAGAGAAGTCCGCCTCTCTATCAACGCTCGACCTTTATAACGTGATGATAAATACTCCACATCGTTGTTCCCGTGTTGCTGGGCTATAATGGTTCCCAGGATATTTCCCTCCGTCATAGTTCCCCATTGAGCCAGTGTCAGTTGCTTGTTAGCGGTGTAATCCCAAAGAAAGGTTACATTAGCCCCATCCTGGGCATTGAGCGGGTTGACAGGAGTCAACACAAAGACCTGTGCCTCTGTTGAAACCAATATACAATGATTACAAGGAAGTTTTAATTTGTTTCTAAATACTGTATTTCAATTTCTCAATTGTTGATGATATCCAGCTCCTTGAGGATAAGACTGAAGTGATTAAAAGAAAATAGCCGAAAGACTCGGAATGATATAGTAGTACATGCAGTTTTATTTTTTATACCGGAGATTTCAATGTGAAAGGTGACTCTGACGGCCTCTCCCAGGTTGTTTAGAGAAATAAAAAAACTTGCTTTTTAATGTGCTAAACAAACATCAAAGACAATGGGGGTAACCGGACTCACGTTTGAGTTTTAACACGGATGGTTACATTTTTCGTCGTGAAAGGGACCATTCAACTTTTCTTGCTCGCACGCACCATTGAGACAGAAAAGGCGCCAGTGTTATTACTAAACAACTGTAAAAATAAAGAAACTTAAGCTTATTGTATGGCTGGCTCCGTGAACGGGCAAGATAAACTAAATCCTGTGTCTCCAAGGGTGCTTACCATTTATCAAAAAAATCCGGAAATTTCGGTTGAAAGTCAAATGGAAAGGTTTTTTTCCGGAAAATCCGTTCGGAAATTGTAGACCACCTCCAGAGGTAAACTTCTTTTTCCGTTCGGAACGGAACGGCGAAAATTTCCTAACCATGTGCTAAACTTTCCAGTTTCCAGTCTCTCATCAGAATAACGACCCAGGCATAAGCATAAATATCCTTTTTCTTATGCTTAAGCTTATGTCGTGGCTGTCCTCACTAGAGCATAAGCTTCTTTTATTACGCTTATGCTTGTGCTTGCGTCGTTATAGAGGACCAGGCTTAAGCGCCATCTCGTTCGGTTGGTTTGCTGATTTTGGAAAAAAACCCTTACCATTATTCAACGGTCATCCCAACCGATTTATTCTGACAAATGATAAGCACCCCACGACTCTCCAAGTGCTCTGCACTTGCCCGAGCTGGTAAAATGGCGCTATCTTTCCCGCTCGGAATTACGTGCTGTGTTCCGTAAGAAAAATGATTTTTCGCTCTTCTTTATCTCATATAATGAATCCCTTATTGACCAAGCTTGTCCGGTCAAGATGGCTGGATATTGGCCAATTTTTTTTTTCTTTTGCGTGTTTATGGACCTCGAGTCCGTCCCGGTCCATAAACAAGCAAAAAAAGATCTTGGCCAATATCCAACCATCTTGACCTAATGTTTGGTCAGCAGCCGATATATATAGAAGGAAAACAGAACAGGCGTATCGCCCGTAAAAAGAGTAGGAAAATAGCACTGGACTGGTCGCCCACCCTGGCGCACCGAGCCGACCATAGAGCGAAGCCTGTGCATGTGACGAGGTGCTATCAAGCGCTGCGAATAGAGAAAGAAACCTTAGACTATCACAAAAATCAAAACTTTTCAGGTAAATAGAGATTCAATATGCTAACTATCTTCGTGTCACTGTTTAAAGGTCTTTAAAAAAACAAAAGCTGCGGACTACCAAAGATATTAGCGTTGCTCCTCCTTGTCGTATCGCTAATAAACAGGATGTTTCCTTTGCGAGTTCAATGGTTGAAGTGCCCAGTGATGTGACAATCTCACAATTTGCCAGAAATGTTCGCGAATTTACAGAAGGGAAGCATCAAACAAGGAAATGGATTCCCAACGGTCCAATTTTTAAAATTTTGAAGACGTTTTTCAATTTCAAAATTCCCGCTTGAGACACAAACACCAGTTTCGTTTACAGGAAGTACAAGCGACTGTTGTGCTTCCGGTTCCGGTTCTTCGAGTGCCTTTCAATAGTCTTCAATTCGGAAATAGTCTGTTATTTGTTATTTTTTGTACAAACGAAATACAATTTTTAACTTACCAATTTACAAATCAAAATTCTTCCAGAAAAAAGGGCAAGATAAAATCTGGAAAACATGACCGGAAGTGCGGACATGTGTCAAAGTGAGGCTAAGCCGGAGTTTTATTTATATTTGACGTCTGAAACCTTGAATTCTGTACACTATCGCCTGTGACCCAAACAAGCTGTGATGGCGACGGGTTGTTTCTAAGCTCCTACTTCATTTTCAAGCGTGATCATGCCTCGCTCGTTCCTTGTCAAGAGAAGAAAAAGCAGCGATGCGAACACTGTGTTCGAATCTGGTAAGTTGGCGCTAAGCTTGATTATATTTCTTGAAACCCGCACGTGTTGCCGAACGAACGATCTTGCGCCAGTGTTCGCGGGTCCTCAGTCGGTGGATAGGGACAGTTTAGATGTCAACACGCTAAAACGGTATGTCTTCTTCGTCACTCCGCCAGGTTATGCGATGTGAAATCGTGAACGATTTGCGTTTCTGGTGAGATTGTACTTCGAGAGAAGGGATTGCTTTAATTAATTCAAGTTTTTCGAATTGCTTACGGTGTCATTTATTTCCCTGTGCTGCAAAATTACAGCAGTAACGCGCGGAAACCTGGGGTACTCTTGCAATTTCGTTTATTCCTACTCTTGAAAATGGGATTTTTGAATGGCTTTCTTGGCATTAAAACAGTTTTTAGGTCTTTAAGAAATCTCCAGTTTGGTCGTTTTCTTATTAGCACTTTTGCAAGTAACAGTAATTTTAATATACACACACCTGGGAGACGTTGGGCAGATGTTTCGAAAACTCGCTGGTCCGGATGGCGATTTTCGGTTTGAAATCTCACAGCTACCATAACGAAATCGACATTGAGAGAAATTCAGTTTTCTTTATGGGGTAATAGAATTTCCAGCGCCTTCTAGCGCCGAAGATAGTTGATCCCTAGCAACTTCAGCGCAGAAAGCAATGGAGATGTTGTTTTATGAATTTAGCCATAAATTAAAACGGTTCTGTAAACAGATGAAAACTTAATTTCACAGCTGTTCTTGGGAGATTGAATTGTGCCTCGAAAAGAGAAACAAAAAGATGTCCAGAAGTTACAGGAAGAGAGAATTTCGGAAATTGCTGAATGAATGAGCAGTTAAATTTGTTAATGAAAATACAGGGATTTTCAAGACAAGTGAAATAAACAGTGAGTAGCGCGGGAAATATTAAATTGTCGCAGGGGGTGCCGGCCGAGCGCTCGAGGCACTTCATCTCTACAATGACATATGTCCTCTGTCGCCGACAATCGAAAAAGGTACGAATTTTAATAAAAGGGCTGAAATCCGAGTGCATTAGCTTTGAAATGAAAGACGAAAGCTTTACAGCCATCTGGCACGGATTATTTACTTCGGGCGATTTTGAAAAAAAAGAAGATAATCACAAAATGAAAATAAATACGAAGAAAGGGACGGACATTTTCAAGTGTGTATTTTTTTTCCTGAGATTTGTTATGAATGATAAATTAAAATTTTGACAAAGCGCGATGGAAATCAACGATTTAAACCTTGGACTATAGCTTTAAGATATGTTAATGTACCTAAGGTGGACATTAAGGGCCTTGCTAATGATGTTGGTAATTCGAATAAAAGCAAATTTTCCTATCGAAATGAAGAGGGCTGTATAAAATCTAATACGCCTCAAATACACCGGAGTGACAATCTTTTATTTGCTATGGTGATTCTAGGTTTTCAATGAAAGACACTCATTTAAAAACATAGACTCGTCGGCCTAAAAATTTTCGTCAACAATTTAAATTACAGAAATTGGAAAAAAACTGGAATAGCCACAATTTTTGTTAATTTTCCGTGCGAAAAAAGGCACAATTCGGACTCCATGACAAAAGCTATTTTTTATTCCAAGGGAAATTCAAATGAAAAATAAATAATTTTTTGTTAGTAGCTGAAAATGTATTCTTGTCGAAACAGATGTTCATTGCTTAGCTCATATTGAACAATAAAACATTTTTATTCAATCGCTGAAAAAGCGCGGTTTTGTTTTACACTCGCTTTCAATCCACGAATGAATCAGAGAAAAATTCTGCTTGAAGCGAGAGACGAGTAAAAAACAGCCAAGGGAGGGATGTTTGTCGTAGAGAACCTTTTAAATATCGCGTCTTTTTCATATCGAAAGGTGAAAAGTCAAAGAAAATTGCAATTCACATCTGGGAAGGAACACCGCAACAACTGCGCTACCAGGAAACCATTCTTCACTTTGTTTTCCTTTCTCTAATTCGTAGATTGTTTGCAAGGACAAAGCCTTTTTCATGTAGTCAGTAAAAAAAGACGATTTAACAGATGGAAAATCGATCCTTTGACTTGGTCTCGATGTCGCCTCAGTTAAAGGTGAACACTGTTTTAGTCAAAGCGGCCTCTAGCCAGCTATGCTAAGAATTCCAAGTTTTTGATAAGAAATCGGAAAGGAAAACAGCTGGACTTGATCTGCGTTAAAAATGGCCTTCTGGCATTGAAATGGGTTCTTTGAGTAACTAAATGGGTTGATGGCTGTTGTTCAGCAGGTCGATTAGCAAAACAATTGAGTTGTAGAAATCAAACTACTACATTCTACAAGGTAAAAGAACACAATAGAACGCTCATCGTTCCAGATGGTTTGTGTTCTTTCCTCTGCTCGCGTTATTTTAACATCTGGCATTTCCTGTTGCTGTTTTTCAACATGGCAAAGCTCGCATACAGTTTCTTGCACAAGCAAGAGTTTTAGCGCACATACGATTTTCGTGAACGACTTTCACGGGAGCTAAAAAGATGCCAAAACCATTCATTTGTATTCCTCTGTGCGCAACCATAAGAAACAGAAGGAATGATTTTTTTGATAAGATGTCTCGCTGTAGGATTAAGTTATTAACAACCTATGTTTTGACTTTTCTCGCCAATAATAAATGCAGGAACATGAAAAGTGTAGAAAATTAGTCTCTGAATAGCCGGCCATATCACGAGCTTATCAGGGGTCTATCAGAACAGTATGCGCTTTGCAAAAATGCGAGGTAGGCGTTCGACCGATGACGCTCGATTTTTTTTCAGAACTTTATCATTTTGCTGCCTGTTTACGCAGCACGATTTGCATACTTTAAAATAACAACGATTTCCGACCGCCTACAAAGGAGCCATTTTTTTCCTCACCACACAAGGCAGCCTGCTCTGTTTTGTCCTATAGACGAGTCTAATAGTCGGTTTTATTGCTTTGTCCTTTGCGGCTTTGAAATTGAAAATAGAAATAAATAAAGATCCGTCACGGCTTTTTCAAAAGACCAGGATTATGTCACGTTTGGCTGATTAAAAGGCTCTACTGGAAAGGAATACCACCTGTTCTTTCGAGTGAAAAAGAACAATTGATTATTTGAAAACGCCCTCGGGCCTTGTCCGTAGTTGCACTTGTGCTTAATTGTCACGCAACGCCCGCTGCGTCACGCTCATTACGACAAACGGGTGCCGTGTGGAAGGAAGGTGCTACTTCGGTCGCTGCTAATTCAAAACCATTGTAAGCCTTGAAAAAATATCGGAATCCCATAAGGGCTATGGCTACAATTCCTAGATGGAGAGGTCTAGGCACTGTGAAATTAAGGTGTGTGCTGCCAAGCATCCAATGTGCCTCCACAGGCATGTAATACGTGCAAAACGCAATGCAACTGTTTTTGTACAGTTTTTGTACCTGAAAAATACCCAATGCTGTCAACATGTATAAATTAATTAAGAGACAGTGCAGTCTGTGGAGCGTGATTTGGTTCAAACATGCCTAAATTAGCAAAGTTAAAGGCATGGGCCAATATTGTTGCCTGCATATAGAAAAGTTCTTTCAAAAAGAAATGATTTCAAAAATCCTAGTATATCAGTAGGTTCCACCCCAAGGTCTAAACCCTTACATTTTTGTTCACCATTTTTGACAGAAAAGATCATTGTCCCTGGGCCATACCAGTCCACAGTGCCTGAGCTTGTGCCAGGACACAATGCAATGTTGCAAGATGGGTGCAACTTTTTTATTTATTGAGATATATACTTGCGTCTTTGTTTCAGATCTGCCAAAGACCATCCAAGATCCTTTAAGCTACGCAGCAGTGGAACAACAAAAACTTGTGCCTCCCAGTCCCTGCATTGAATTTCATCCACAAATTTTACATTTTAACGGACTACAGAAAAACCACACTTGGAAGCCTCCAAACACCCCATGTTTTGCCTGTAGAACAAGGACATTTCCACATGCTTCAGACAGTTGTATCAAATTCACAGCCAGAAATAATCATCATTGTCTGAACACTTGTGAGTGCTATCACAGAAAACTTGATGAGTATGCAGGTTGTTTCTGTTGTCACTCATCTAGTAATAAACTTCTTTCTGATGTTAGCCAGCTACACATGCCTGCATGGTACAGTGGGTTAAATAACAACAATCACTACCATGGGATCTACTTGCCAAAGCACGGCCCATTTGGTTCAAAATCTTTGTCTACACCCTTGGAAAGAATAGATATTCATGCAAGAGAAGTAGCAAACAGAGCAAGTCACAATTTAACTTCACATCATACTGGCAAGGGTAGCACTAGGTTTGCCACAGGATTAGAATGTAACCCTAAAGTTATAAGTGATGAAGATGAACTCCCCACAAAGAAAATGAAGATGACACCTATTGGGAATGAACAAAGGATGAAAAAGGAAGAAAGTATGGAGTCACAGCTTCAAAAGAACGAGACTCAGTCAAGCGTTGCTCTTGAACAAGGGAAAGTTTCAAAGGCTGAGGATAAACCAGCTCAAGAAACAATCAAACAAGAGTTTCCTGAGCCATGGAGTGATCAGACTATATGCAATGGTAGTGAACTCTCTACTGGTGAACTGGACAGTGAAAAAAACGATACAAGAACCAATAATGAAAAAGGCGAACTACACACTCCTGAAAAAAGTTACAAAAAAGCACCACAAGAGATCCACAAAAATGTGCCTCATCAGGGAACCAGGAAGTCACAGCAAGCAAAATCAAAGAAGGGACACAAAGATAACAACACAAAACCTTACAATACAAGGATGGTGACATCTCGGCCACGGACTTACAGCTCTGACTTTGTCATACCTGATGAGGAGGAAGAGTGGAGGCAGGATAAAGTAGGTTATCAAATGAAGGGTCGACAAAGAACAAAACTGAACAGGCTGTTGGCAAATGAACATGAACGCAGAAGAGTGGCACAGTTGAATAGCGCTTATCAAGACCTTCGACAGTTAATTCCAGGATACCAATGTGACACCAAGCTGCCAAAGATAAAGATACTGAAATATGCAATCAATTATATAGCCCACCTAGATGATATACTAGGAACTGACTTTTATAAGGTAAATTAAAGGGAAAATATTTAGCTTTATTTTGTTATTTTTATTGTAACTCAAATAATTATGCATTAGATTAGTTATCTTTATTTTAACATCAATCTAGATAAGCGCACTGTTTTTGATTAATTCTTCATCTATTAATAAATTAAAATATTAATAAATTGTAGCAAGTGTGAAAAGCATTTAAGATGTTAGTTTTCCTTTTTGTTACAAATATCGTGTTTAAGGCAGGTTTTTGTTGAACTATCAATTCAAACGTGATTAAGTAAAAAACAAATTTTATATGCTGCATTTTATTGAGTAATATGCTAGTCAGGCAAAAAGTAAATGATTGTATCTGCAAAGCATTATTCTTGCTCTTATTCTGGCTTTTGCTGTTGCTCTCACTCTTACTCTTTACTCTCACACATGTACCATTTTCACGTTATCCAGAATTTGGAGTTCACGATCAATACACTTTCAAGATCAGTATTAAAATAGTCTGATAAAAATGTTTCAAAGCACATTTAGGTTAATTTAAATTATCACAAACTATTAAAGACCACTAATTTTAATCACAACATTGGAGCACCTTCATTAAATTAAAGGGCAATCTGTTTAATGTAAATAATTTATACATGGAAGACTTTCTGAACTCTCTTCATTCCTGATCTTAGAGCAGAGCTGACGTGCTTTGTCAACTATTGTTGTATGCTCACCCAAGACTGTGCCTCAATTAGTTGAGACTAGAAGCTTTGTAGAGTAATTCTGTTTGATATTATACCCTGTGGCTGATCCTACGAGAACTATTCTGAAGATGACAGAAGATTCTGTTGAAACATGTTTTAAAAAAAAACGGTGTGCTGTTTCTAAAAGTTTTAACATGTCTGCTACTATCCAGACCTTTTGCCATATATTTCAGTGAATGTACATTATTGTATGGTTCCTAATCCTTCTTTCATAAATATTATAATGACAATTTGCCTATTTTTTTTTTTTTTAAATGCACCAAGTACAAGTCCAAAAGCAATGAAAGTAAGTTACAACCCTCTAACTGCAGTGCACTTGCACACATAAATTTGACTTTTTGTTTATTAACATAATGGAGAATAACCTAGGTCATAAGTCATAAGCCAGGTCATTACGTTGGAAATTTAAGGTTTAAGAAAAATGTTGAAACAACCACAGTAAATTATTTGATACTTTGATCCCAAGTGGCCTTATTCCATGTGAAGATAGATAAACGCATAGCTATCTGATAGAAAGTAAATCCTGACTGCATGATCGTTTAGACATTCCAACTTATTACAGTGTATGTATGATTGTTATAAACTTAAGTCATCATCTGAGAGCAATTTTATACAGATTTTTGTTACAAAAACTGGTTAATATAATTAAAAGAACCCTAAACACTGTGCTACAAAATAATAAGTTATTATTAATAATAATATGAACTAATCTGTTCTTTGGTGGCAGGAGGCAAAAAAACTTCAATAACTGTGCAGCTGCAAGGACAAACATCTACAGCATGGTTACTATCAGGGCTAGAAGATTTGCACTGTTGAAAGCACAGTTATTGCAGTTAAGATGTCTCTGACTTTGACCATTATACATTCAGTTTGGTAAATGTAAGGGCTAAAAGATTTTACAAACTAAGTTGTAAGCTCAGCAGAAATACCCCATCTCTGAGTTGCCTTGTGCATCTGTGTCAATACAAGTCTAACTGAAAACCATTCATATAAAAACATATTTTGCTTACAGGTACATTTTCATACAAATCAATATCTCTTTCAATACGAAAGGTTTTGCACAAGGATTTGTTTTGAAACAGAGGCACAACTCGGAAATGGTCTACAGACTGATTCAGGCTAAAAGACGTCCATCTTTGCTTTGGTTAGCATGATTATTGCAGGCTATTATTGATTCATGTTAACAGATATTTTCCCAGTATTTCTATCCCTATACCAAGCTGAGTACTAAATTTGTGAAACATAGATACAGTACTGAATTGTACTTTGCAACTGATGGATTATACCACCACTTGAAAGGAATTGACTTTTTTAACTTACTGTAATGTCTAAACCAATCAATTAATTACATTTCAAAATCATTGGAAGAATGGTCTTGTAAGTCGAAAAAGATAGCATGTTAAAATACTTCTACCACATGTTTCAGCAGTGCAATTTCATTGCTATGCAACTACTGACTTGTTGAAAATCAACATAATAAACCAATAAACAAAAGTTCAATTGAATTTGGTGTCTTTGTGAAATTTTCTTCGCTGTCAACCCCTTCAAATGACTAGCATGCAGAAGGGAAATATGTAATATTTTGCACGTAAACACATCTTTGGGTTATGGTTTGTATAGTGTGATTGTCTGGGTGTGGGTAGTTCTGAAAAAAATTGTTATTGGTGACCGACGTTTTGACAACCTGAGCGGAATTCATGTTCAGAGTCAAGTGGATAGTGTTTGTCAGTAGATGTTGTTTAAAGTCTGGTCCGTTGAGAGTGATTGGTCAGTTTAGCCATGAAGATAAATTGGCTGTAAGACTCGTGTAAAGTTTGTCAACAGTCATTGGTCAGTTCTAGTAAGTCTTTGTGTTATAATTATTATAGCCCATTGGTATATTGACAAACAAATATTGGACAAACATGGTATATTGCATCTAATTATTGAGTACAATGTTGATTCCAGTGCAATGAACTTTGAATTCATTATTGACCATGGTTAACAATATGATCCATTTATACTGTATCCAATAATTTTCAGCACAAACTACATCCTTGAGAAGTCCTGTCTTCATGCTCAATTGTGCAAAACCCATTAACATTTAAAGGTATCATGACAAATCTTAAAACATACTTGATTTAAAAATGATATTCAAGTCCCTTGAGTCTTTCATCATAGCGTCACGAATCTTGGTTTGGATCATTTGTACTTGAAGTTGTGCCATTTTTCTTTAGGAGTTGCCCATCATGGGGTATGAGATTTGGAATACCATTTTGTATTGAATATGCCACACCAATTTCATCTGAAATCAACTCATTTCTTGTACTGTCATACCTAGGAGGAAATAATTGGAGACAAAAAGCAATAACAAAATGCACATGTATACTCCATCCATAAAGGTAGGACTAAAGAACATTTAAAAGACAGTCATTGTGGTGGATCCTTGAACAAAGATTCTGTAAGAACAGTGACTTGTTGCTCAAATGGGGATAGATGAATATAGTAGGATGTCTAGGCCAGGGATTTACAACCTTCCCTCTAGATTCTAGATTGTTATTTCCTGTTGAGCTTGATTTTCAGCCATTTTTGGGAGTCTAAGTGTCACCTCCTCCAATGAACAAGAACATAAGCTCAAAGAACGACTTGAAATCAAGCCTAGTATCTGTGACAAAAAAGTTATCTATAAGCCTTCAAATGATGGATTTTAAAGACAAGAGTGGCTGGTGGCATTAAAGCCCTCTTGGCGATCTCCTTACAACACCTTTGTATGTGTCTTCCAATCCAAAGTCCCGTTGGGGGAGTAATCTGGGGACAGGAGTGCTTCTCATACCTTTTAGGTGTTAAAAAAGTGGTTTTAGAACCTCTTAGGGTGCCCTAAGCCTGAAAAGATCCACAGCAGGAGCTTTTTTTGGTAACTTGCAGGGTATTGAGCCAAAAAATATATATGACAGGAGATAGTGCGTTGTTTTAGAATTGGTATGCCACGCCCACAAAACAGGACCTTAGTACCTCTTGGGGGTTCTTTTCAAAATTTCTGATTAGCACCCCCGTCCTCCCCCTCTAGGGTCCAAAGCATTGCAAGAGTTGGTTTAATGGCTCACCAAGACCAATGCTAATATACAACTAAGACGAGAGATGTAGTGATTACCTGCTATATCTCTAGACAATATTTTTGTCACATGCTTATGCCCCGACAATTTTGCTGCTACGAATTCACAAGTTCCTTGTCCATAGTCTATATATATTTATAATGTCCTTGTCTGGTGGAGATCCTAGGGCCTAGCACGACGGTGAAAGAAAACACTGTTCATAATTCTAATATAGGGTTATACGGAAATTTTCCTTTGTACAAGCTGACATCAGCGTGTAGCCCAAATACACTTCAGAGTTCTTACCTCAGTGGTTTTTTAGACAAGGGACAGACTAAGATCTCCAACAGTTTTTGATCAACCAGGGTATCTTTGCCAGTTGTCAATTGATTACCAATACTAAAACATCTACATGATGAAGTCTGAATCAAAGAAACGTGTTTCTTTGAAATAGTTTCCAACACGAATCTCCCATGTCTCCAAAGAAAACCTCCCGCCATTTTGGATTGCTTGGTAGCCACTCCACATCGTATAAGTTTGGCTGCCCAGTCGAAGGAGTCAGTTTCAAAATGGCGGATCAACGTGTGTCATGCGGTCGAGATTTCTTTTGTGTTCCTGACCTTGCTGGAGCCTTGAAGAATGCTACGAACGGAGGGTATAGATAAAATAACTTAAATTCATCTCAAAAGGCATTAGTTTGAGAATTAACGAGGGAATAGAATAACCAGCAGTTAGTTAAACACATACATGTCTTCTTCTTTGTAGTCGCATGTAGACATGCTATTTTAAAGTGGTCGCAGGCAGATGGAGTTTTATTTGTAATTAGCCTTACTTTTCAATTTTTAGGTTTGATTTTATCTGTGCTCCTATCTGTCATCCAAGATACCGAAGAGAATTTTTAGACCCAGTTCCCAATCGAACAGGGGCTTTCACTCGATCAGATCTGGTACTACCTAGTCAAGGTAACAAAGCTACACCGGTGAAGGGTGTCTGCATAGCCACATACTTTATGTATGCAACAAAAAGCAACGAAAGTCGTAGGTGTAATTAAGTTTGGTGTTTTACTCCAAGGGGAGGGGAGAGGGATACTCTTCAAAGTTTTACACGGGGAGAACAATAAGCATACCCAGAAGACATGTTAACCTAAAAATCAAGTATTCTTTATTCAGTTCTGTAAATTACAGATTTCCCTACACTTTCCTATACTTCAACTTGCAAAATCCTTACTCTTTCAGATACCTGAAGCCTGAAAAAGGTATCCTTTTCAGGCAAGGCCTGTACCCCCTGAAATCTTACAGTCTTCATATATTTCCCGGCAGCAAGACTTTTACAATCAGATTCCAGTGCATAAACCACAACGCTACATCATGTACTATTATATTACCAGTGCATTTGTGCAGTGCAGGGTCATGATAATATTTAAAGTCCTTTTGAGATTAATATTGTAATAATCATTTGGATTACCAACAAAGGTTAATATGAAATTTCTTTCAGATTGGAACAGCCTGATTGTTGGTAAAACCTCCCCTTGGCTGAACTTAGATTCACCAAATGAGACTGTGAGAAAAAATTCTGAACAAGTAGGTCACTGTCTTGTGTTTTTGGAGCTTGCTTTATTGATTTCCTCCTTCAGTTGCCCATTTTCTTTTTAATATCAAATGTGTCTTTTGGCAAGTCCTCCAACTACCATCCTGGCCATAAGTTGTTGGGACACCTCCCCTTTTGCGTCCTAAAACCCACGATTTCATCTACGTCCTTGATGTTTTAGAAAAAAAGATGAATAGAGGCAAGTTTAATTGACTCCCCTCCCCCTAGCAATGTTGAAAGAAAATGAAGCTATTCTGAAGACTAGATCGGATGTGGTAAAAAAGGAAAAAGGGACAATAGAAAGTGGTTAGACAGTTGTGTTGTAACCGAACTTGATTGCTGTAAAATTGTTATTATTGGAATAAGGAATGAATATCTATCTTATCATCTCTTTAGTTGGAGAATACAGTTCTAGGAGGGAAACAGGTCTTGAAACATGGCTATTCTGAAGCTATTGTCAAGGTTTTTTTTCTTCAAGATTTTTATCAACTTTGACAGGGGGAGGGGGGTAGGCGGGCTTACGCAGTCTTGGTCTTAAGAGAGGCTGCCTGTGAAGTCATCTGCTGTGAACTGTCCCAACACTTGTGACCAGGATTGTAGTATTGTTACTCTTTAAAATCACTCATTATCAACCTAGAGGCACATCTCTAAATCACTTTGCTTAAAGGGACTACAGGTAATGCAGGGCAAATTTAACATTAATTGAAATATTGTGGCTCCAATTCTGTGGAAGAACTGAAAAAAGCACAGAAAAACTAAAAAGGGGCTTGGACGCACAAAATTGGAGAAAATTAAAGTAGACTACATTGGGGTAAACTTAAAACAATGTTGACTCAACTCATTTCAATTTTATCTATCTAATTTGTACAAGTGCCATTTATAACTCTTAGAAATCATCCTTCATTGTCATATGGTTATTATTTTGTCATTAAAATACTGTTGCTCTGCCAAAAAGAAGTTTATAGTTCCTGATTAACAAAGATAAACTGACTAGTTACTTATTGGTAAACCATAGTAACTGTGACCTAGCCTTTGTAACGATCCTTCCTGATTAGAATCCTTTCTGCTCTTTTGCAGGCCTTGCATCAGGAACTTTGTTATTCTGTTCACTTGAGTCTTCCAGCTGTTCTTGTTCCATTAAAAAGCTTCAACTGTGCCAACCTCGCTCATCACATCAATGCAAGTATAACTGACACACATGTGCAACAGGTCAGATATGAAATGACAAATTTCATGCATGTTCATTGACTTGACTATGATATTTACAACTTGCTAAAAATTAAATGTGAGGTTTACTTGGAATCAGAAGTAGCAAATTTAGTGGGAATTGATTTCTTAAATAATAATAATAATGATAATGATGATGGTAAAAATGTTTATAGTGCCAGTTTCCTTTAAGTCCAAAGGCACTTAATGTAACTTCTTCAATTTTTTCACTTTGTTTTGCACTTACATTTTGAAATTACAATATTAGCATAAAAGAGAAAAAAGATACATGTATAACAATTAAAGGTGACAATGGTACATAGCTTGTGCATGGAGGCTAATAGAACTGCGAGGTAAATGAGTTGGCCTCCATCTTGTTTGAGGGAACATAAAAAAACATGGGACTAGAAGGAGAGATTACTATGTATAAAAAAAGCAATTAAGATTTTGAAATGATAATTATTGTGGATTATCAGATTTAAATTAATGATCATATTTCAATTAATGGTCATCATAGTTTTATTTGTCATATATTCTAAAGCCACGAGACAGTGGTTTTGGGGGTAATTGAGATGAAGAATTTGTCTTACAATGATAGTATTATTGTTTATAAGGCATCCAATGCACATACTTGTCTGTGGTTTTCTAGGTGTGGGTCCATGTGCCTATGAAGAGTCCTGAAGATGAATGTGACAAACACTTGTTTGAAGATGAGGTACAGTTGTATAGTATGTACATTGTACAATCTCTATAAATTATGCTATATATTTTGTAAATAAATGTCATTATTAATTAAAAGTTTGGCATATTTTTTCATTGTGCACTTTGTGCTTTAATTGCTTCCTTGTTATTGTTTCCAGCAGTGTTTAAAACTTATGAAGAGCGCTGCTGACTTTTTCACTCAAACAAAGCACTCTAAAGACTTTTTTTAAATTTGGAATTTTTGTTATTGAATAGATACGATTAATATTTAGTAACTGGCCCCTATGTTATACAATTTAGGGAGTAATCATGCAGGTACATGTTATTTCAAACCGTCCCCACACTGCATTTATCTGATTTTGAGATTAATCCCATGATTACACCCTGAATTGTACTCCACTTGGACCGATTATGCATTACTATTACTGACTTTATGTAAGTTGACTAAATATAATTGTGACATTTGCAGGATGAAGTTGTAGTGAACAACATGTTGGAGAAAGATCCATGGCAATGGTATGATTTTTTTTCTGGTTACTGGAAATTTTGATGCCAAACTGATGAATTTTTGCTACCAACGGTACTGCAAATATTCCATTTATTAGCATGTTCTTCGCTTTGGTGAAGATCAACCAAAGATTTCTGAATTTTCTCTTAAAATATCTCCAAAACAATATTTCATTTGTCTGATGGCATCTTGTTGATTCTTCAAATAGGTTTATTAATACAATCATGTTCTTTCTATTTTGTAAAAATTCAAAAATGGGCCAGAGGCCATTTGAGTGTTTCTAGTAATCATTTTATGAACATTACATGTACCAAACATTATGGAAGACCTCCAAAAGATTCTTGTCATAGCAAGTATCTGAGATACGTGTTGATGCTTAAAATTAATTAATTTGACTCTGTAGGTGGAATGTATTTAGAACTGTCTGTGGAAACAATAGAAAGGTTGGCTTAGGTAAGTGCATGATAAGTAGTCTTTTTTGGAAATGAAGCAAAATGATCAAGTGCAAACTGTTGTAATCATGATGACATGTGTTTTATGTTGAATTATTTTAGCATTAGAGATTTCTGCTGAGCTGCCTTCTGAGGAAGAGTTGGAAAGATGGTGTGGAGAACCAGTCAAAGCAGCAATCCTACCTACAAGTTTATTTCTTACAAACAAGAAAGGTGTGTGATTCAACACAGGGAATAAAAGATAAACTTACCTTTATTGATCATGTCTTGTGTTTTATGGTGGAATTTGGTCAGCCTAGTGGAAGGTCTGGAACTGAAAATTTAGGAAGTCTGGGACAGCTGGGAAAAATGAAAAATTCTTGAAAGATCCAATCAGTCATGAGAGTAATAAAGTGCTATTTTCTAAGAGTTCCGAGAGATTTCAGAATCCCTTGCATTAGCTGAATGTGAATTTAATATTTGAAAATAGACACGACTGTGATTCATCAGAATTTTTCACAAATGTTGAATGAGTCAACTTGTCCTCACAATAGACATATTGCTGGTATCCATTTATCAGTATATATCTACAGCTGGGTGAAGAGGTAAACTTTGAGGGAGATAGCTTCTTACCTAGAAACACAATGCAATGACCATGGCCAGGGCTCAAACCTGGAGTCCATCACATTCACCATTATATCATCATACCTTTCATACAAGTTCTGAGAACTTGCATGAAGATAGAATCCATTGCCTAAGTATGTACAACTATATGTAAATTTAGCATAGTTTAGTTTAATTGTTAAGGGATGTTGTCAGAAGTAAAGAGTCGATAATTTCTTTATTGTTAGGTTATCCAGTTTTGCCGAGGGCTCACCAGGCACTTGTTAGGAAATTGTTCAGGGTGAGATATTTATTTTGTCACAAAATTAGTAAATTTAACTTGTTATCATTTTAGGTATAGTGAAAGCATTTTGTAATTGTCTGACTTAATAGTGTAAAAGTCAAGTTTTCACCTTTTTTGCAGCTGAATACTCAGTTGATCTTGACTGGTGTCAATAAGCATAAAGACAAGGTATGATTATTACTAATTACAACTATAGATGATTTGTTTTAATATCGAGTCTCAGACTCTTTCACAAGTAATATTATCCTTGAATGAATAAATTAGAAAATGTCATTTGACGTTGACTGAATTCTGTCTGGATTCTGTAAAAACGTAATGTGTCATTGACAAGGTCAGTGTCATAATTTATAAGAATATTTAATCCTTATTTTCTCCTCTGCAGGGACTGGGATTTTATTACCAATACCTTGCTCATCTTTATCAGGTACATATTTTGTTTAATTAAAGAAAAGGCTATCTAGTACATTACTTGTAGTTTTTGTATGTGGCCATAAATCTTGTTGCTCACACTTTGCATCTCACTACTAGATGTTTTTGTTACTTCACTTTCTTCTTGCAACATAGAATAACAATTTTAAGTCTTTGAAGGAGAATAGTCCAGACAGTCGAGACGTTGAGTGACATTACATGACTAAGGAGGATTTAGATAGTTTTCTTATGGTCGAACAGCAACTGTCAGAAATTTCTATTCATTCCATATTGAGCACACCTGGCACTTCCAGAGAAAACTCTTTTGATAACTTCAATATGCCCCTAAGATTCTAAAACATAACTGCAGTTATTTTTATAGTCTAACTCTGTTTCAGAAATAAATTTGCTGTTGCTATTAATAGCAATCTACATCACAAGGATACAAAAATACCCTGGGCACTACTCCCCTACCTTGTGAGTTGAATGTAAGTAGGTGACCCCCCCTATTATTCCATTCCCCTCCCCCACCCTCTTGCACTGCATCTTGTAGTTACATAACATTGGAAATAAGAAGCGTTTTGTGAATTCTCCAGACCCAGCCAGAGTTGGACAATGTGAGTCAGTTTGCCAAAGGATATGAAGATTACCTACAGTGTCCCCTTCAGGTACATCTTGGTTTCTGGCCTGGTGAATAACCAGTAAATTTATTGATGTGCATAAATTAGCCATTCACAAGCATTTGGGTAAATCAATGAAGTTGTCCTTGTTTTAACTTGTCTTATTTTATTTTTAAGAAGCAGTCATATTGAAATTGCACTGCATGCCATGCCATGCCATGCCAGGTCATGATGTTATGTAGCACTCTGCTTGCACTACAGGCGTATGAAAGTACAAATGCTTACAAGATTGATGAAGACTTTATAAAATAAAGAATTTATGCAAGTAGTATCAGTTTAAACTAATCTACATTTCTGATATGTTTTTCTTTTTACCTTTTTCTAGCCCTTAATGGACAATCTGGAGTCTCAAACCTATGAAATATTTGAACGTGATCCTATTAAATACCAACAGTACCAAAGGGTAAGGTGCTATGTTCTTAACCTATGAATCCCTGATGTCAACATGAAAATTCTTGTTACTGGTTTCTATACAGTTGTATCTATTCTAGTTTGGAGAATTTAAAAATACATCTCTTGTTGTGCATTTTCCTAGGTACTCCATTCTCCAGACCCTACCTGCCTTGCCTTAATGAGGATATTGATAAGAAAGTAAATCCTGATCGTGCTAGAACTGAATAGTTTTATGAGTACAAGGTGGAGCAGGACAAGTCTGAAAAAGAGATTTACTGTTATGAGAATTAACTGGCCAAGATGGCTGTTATAGGGTGGCTCCAATAGGCCCATTCCTCCATATTAAAATAATTATAACCTGACTCTAAAGCTTAGGGGACAAAGCAAAAGAAAGTGCATCAAGATTGAGGCATAAATAAATAATTCCTTTTTTTTATTCCCCTAAGCCTCAATGGCATTATAGAATTTAACATATCAAAACTGGCCTGTCAGAATGAAGCAATCAACTGCTTGTGAAGAATTATTTTTAATGCGTAATATTATTCTATTATGTTATTTCTTTGTAGGCTGTGCATCAAGCATTACTTGATAGAGTTCCAGAAGACAAGAAGGACTCTGTTGTGACGTAAGTGTCATAACAAGTAATTTTTGAATTTATCAGTTTTACCATAAAAAGTTAAGATTTGTTTGGTTGGCTAATTTAGTTTTCAATATAATAAGCACACAACACAGTTAGCGGTGCATCATTTACTAAATGCTCTCTTTACCTTGTCAGGGTGGTAATGGTGGTGGGTGCTGGGCGTGGTCCTCTGGTAAGAGCGTCACTGGCAGCAGGTGAAGAATCAGGTCGAAAAGTCCGGGTGTATGCAGTGGAGAAAAATCCCAATGCTGTTGTCACGTAAGGTTCTTGATCACATAATTTATGCCATATGCCAGCAAAAGTAGTATATTTGAGCAAAACTTATATTGATAACCGTAATGTTATGACCTTTTCAGACAGCCCCAACAATTTGATCCAACTGTTGTGTGAAAATGTAGGAACTATTTGGCCATCCTGTTGGAAGCCATACCTGCAAGGAAGTTCTCTTGACAGCTCTTGGGTTCACCCCTTACTCCAAGAGAGCTAGCTTGCAGGCTATCCTGTGGGAACATTTTAGATGAAATTTTGATTCAACTCAAATGTTCATCCGATGAGTTTTAAGAACCTTAAGAAACAGTCCCAGATGTTGGCACATGCGGCGTCAGTCTGCCACAAAATGTTGATGCCGTCTGATTGGCCAGAGCTATTGAGAATCAATTGTGGTAAATAAACGGTAGCCTCCATTTGGCGGATATCCGAGCATATTTTTAAAGTCAAAGGAGGCTATTGTGTTTATTATCCTTCAAATATTTTTCGCAACATGCGCAGTTTTGAAAATTGGGGACTATTTAACAATTAGACCCGTAGCCCGCAAGGGCTACTGGTCAATAGCCCATGAGGTGAAGCCGTTTTAGTATCACCCAACTAGTCGGACAGAAGAGGCAATAATAAAGTTACAAATGCAAGTTGAAGAAATATTTATTTGGGAATAAAACGAAAGAAAACGTCACGCACGATTGCACCAATTTCGCTACTCGAGGACTATTACTCTAGTAGCGTAGCCAATTAAAATGCAAGATTTGCATTAGTCCACTATTTGGGTGATACTAATCGGATATTCCCCTGTTTTAGCTGGGGAATATTCGGTCACGTGACGCGCTTAGACCAATCGCGCGCGAGCGAAAATATTTGATGGATTATAACAGGTATTAACGTTGAAGTTCACACTCGGCATTGGTGGTGTTTGGATAACTCTTACTTCGTCTTGCTTTTTGCAATTGAACTCAGTAGGCTTTGTATGTTTAAACTCAGCAGTCCTTGCGTTTTATCAAGTTTTCCAGCCTAGTAATCTTCGCCCTGCTTTTTTGTGATTCAGACTGGAGACTTTGAGAGAAGAAGAGTGGAATGGTGACGTCACTGTTGTGTCATCGGACATGCGCGAGTGGGATGCTCCAGAACAGGTTTGAATAATTCTGAAATAATCCAAATGTCAAACATAGTAATTCTTATGAAGACATGATTGATCATCGCAGTTATACACACAACTGAAGCAGCTACGAAATTAAAGCCTGAAAAAAMAATTCAGGCTTGAACGGGATTCGAACCCATGACCTTTGCGATACCGGTGCAGTGCTCTACCAACTGAGCTATCAAGCCAACAGGGAGCTGGTTACGTTGTGAGTTCGTAATATACCCGTAGACAGCTAGGATGAATATTGTAGGCAACCTATTTGTTCCCTTTAATTTGAACGTTATCTTTCTTCATTGTTTTGTTCTTCTTTGATTATTAATTCTTAGTGAAGTATTTGAAGCTGAAGTTCATTTCGATTCCACAGTTGTTGTTTATTTGTGTTTTATTTTTCATAGTGTACAGCTCATCTTGCAAGTGTTATAATAATTGAAAAAACTAAAACTTGTATTTTGTCTGTAGGCTGATATACTGGTGAGCGAGTTGCTGGGTTCTTTTGGTGATAACGAGCTTTCTCCAGAGTGTTTAGATGGAGCCCAGAGATTCCTAAAAGGTCAGCCATGTTTTGAATTTAAAACATATTATTTCTTTCCGTTAATTGACGCGGATTTGTGTCTCTTCAGAGCAATTTTCAATACACCAGTCCTTGAACATAATTGCGTTATTCTCGCATAACTTGCACTCAACTTTGCAGCATTTTTCGTTCGTTTTCCAGTGCTGGCTAACTCTCCAAACAGCACTTAACCTCTGTAAAATCCTACAAAACAACCCGTTAATGCCCCTTACCACTTTCCGTCGAAATTCACTTCACAACTGACTACGTCGTTCAAGTGAATTGACTTTGCCGAAAGCGGCTTTCTATGGCGAGTACAACTATGATTCTGCTGCTTTGGTTTTCGTTTCTGGCAATGTGTCGAGAACATTACAATAATTCAATCTGATCATTTGTTGTTGTTTTCAGATGATGGAATAAGTATTCCCTGTGAATACACATCGTTTCTGGCGCCTATTTCTGCACCCAAGTTACATTATGAAGTATCGCAGAGTAATGACAGCGGCAAAGGACCCTTGGTAACTGATTCTTTAGTTTTGTTACTCACTGAGTTTATACAAGGAGTTTACCTCATTAGCGTTCAATGAATCAAAGCTTGGATCATAATCTGGATGTAACTGGTATTCCAGGTTAGGTTATGGGTTATGTGGACTGAGAAACACAAGGAAGTTAATCAAAAGATCTGAAACTCTCTGGAGATCCTGCCTTAGAAAGTGCAATTTATTGCGGGAATCATCAGAAATGTTCGTCAAATTTCGGCAGGCCTCGGGTGTGCTTTAGCCTGCAGAACAGGCGGATTAGCGGGTTCTAGCGCGATACACGTTTCGCGCTCGTTCTCGCGCTTCGCGCGCGCGCACGTGTATCGCGCTAGAACCGCCTGTTCTGCAGGCTAGGGGTGCTTCGACCGTCTTAGAAATACCTTCGGAACGACCGGCCGAAGCTGTTGGGGGGTCATATTTCTTCACGCTCTTCGCTGTAATTTGCAATTAACCTGCTCTCAGGCTTTTTTTTAACAAAAAATAAATAAAAAAGAACGCCTGATCACAGGTTAATTTACAATCGTAGATACAGCTTTGCATTCGTTTGATGCATTTCTGCATTTGTGTTGCGTGACAGTTGCGCTTTTTTTAGCCAATCAGATCTGAGTAGCTCTTTCAAGTGATTTTTAGCTCCGAAATATTTCTTTTCCAGGTTCCTTTTGAGACACCGTACGTGGTTCGACTTCACAATGTGACAGTGATGGCCGCTCCACAGCCTTGCTTCATCTTTACACATCCGAACAGAGGTTTGTGGTTAATTTTAGTGCCTCTGTTTGTCTACTAGAAAGAGCGAACGATGTTCATTGTCGGTGATATAAACAGAATGTGTTCTGTTTTGTTTCCCTTGCAGTTGCTAGAATTGATAATTCACGAATGAAGTCTCTTGAATTTGAGGTCAAAACAAGTTGTACTTTGCACGGCTTTGCTGGATATTTTGAGGCGATACTCTACAAGGATATCATGCTAAGTAAGTTGCATTATGTGAATCTCATATTTGATTCGAAGGAGAAGCAGATTGTCGTTTTATTTCTGCTAAGCTCAGAACGTACTTCTTTCAACTCGTGGCTCAGCCAATCAGATCAAAAGCGCTGATTTCTTAGCCAATCAGGAGCAATTCGACTAATGCGATTTTCTCGCGTTTTCCATTTGTTTTCAACTCGTGGCTCAGCCAATCAGAGTTTTCCACGCGTTTTCATGGCTCAGCCAATCAGATCAACAGCGCTGATTTCTTAGCCAATCAGGAGCAATTCGACTTATGCGATTTTCCCGCGTTTTCCACTGGCCGCGTGTTTTTGCTCTGAGTTCTTATTACTGGCTATTATTGGTTCATTACTTTATACGTTGTCATAGGGATGGTTATTGTTTTGCTACTTTATCAACTATATTGCTCAAATAGTTTCTTCTTTCATACTCTCGCGTTTTTCTGTTTTCCTAGGTATCAAACCAGATACTCATTCAGAAGGGATGTTCAGTTGGTTTCCATTTTTCTTTCCCATAAAGGTGCGTGAGCTTTGCTATCTTTGAAGAAGGCAATAGCAACAAAATATTGTCTACTGTCACTAACACCATTGTTTTTGGTTATTTTACAGGAACCACAATACATCACTGCGGGCTCCACAGTAGCTTGTCACTTCTGGAGAAAGTGTACGCCGAAAAAGGTTTGGTACGAGTGGTGCATGTCACGACCCGCCCCAATCCCTCTCCATAATCCTGGAGGAAGATCTTACGTCATTGGCCTTTGATCAAGAAGAGAACTGTGTGGTGTTTTCCTGTTTGTGTTCAATTTTCAGTGTAGTAAAAAGACTTTCAATGCGATGAATTGTCTCACTTGATGAGTATTTCTTTGATTTCTATGAAGAGGGGTCTGGAGCAGTGTCTTGTTGTAATGGGAAGTTTACTAAATGTTGACAGCTTGCATTACATGTTGATGCAGTTTGTATTATTGCTATATCTCGATAAAAACGAAGAACGTTTAGGAAGCAAGTAACTGACATTTCTGGCGTTGGAGCTGATACGACAAGCGTATTGCTGTTATGAAATGGCTTCTGTTTTGGCCTTAAGTCAGAATACAAAAGCAAAAACCGACACAACGTAGAATGATTTTTTGAAGGTGTACTTAAGTCAGACTTGCCACTCCGACAGACTTGTCACAAAATCTTTCCTCAGTCCTGCTTTGCGTGACGTTGAAATTGTCTCAGGAGGCTACTATTTTCCAACGTATGTAGTGGCTGATAAACCTTTCTCGTCATTGCTTGTTTCACAAGAAAACCCATCAGAAGTCAAACTATATTTCTATCTTGACGACTTATCAATTAATAAGAAAAGTTTTTTTTTTTCAAAATGAGATTGGAAGTGTTATTGCTCTAAAGCGACAAAATGGCGATCTCTAGCTGAGTTATTCATTCTCGATTCCTTCACTGAATTGAATTCAGTTCAGTTTATATTGGAGTAATTTCGCGAGATCGATAAAGGATGTTATCATGTGCTCCTATCTTCAATCAATGTTGCTTTAACCTCGTTAGTTTTTTATATCAATTGCTGAGCTCGATCTAGACAATGAGATTAATCTTTCTTTTGCTTAAAGTATTTTTTCTTCCTTCAGAAAAAAGCCGTAATTCTTGTGACATCTGTTTGTAAAGAGAAAAAAATAAGAATTTATGACTTATTCTTTATTTATACGATGAAATTGTGTGATAGAACTATGAACATAGAGGCTGGTCGCCAAAACTCATCCAATGTACTAGTAAGGGAACCCGTCCACACTACGCCGGGGAAATTTGAAAACGCATCTTTATTTCTACTGACGGTTAGGCCTACCGTCCACTCTAATCCGTTACGAAAACGGAGGTTTTTGAAAACGCTCTTTAAACTGGAGGACTTTGAAAACGCGGGCTTTTCGTTTTTATGTGGACGGAAAACACTTTGAAAACGGAGCTAAACGAGGCCATCTCGATGATCATGTGATTCCCTGCCCGAGGTTTCCTCCACCAAAAATCCAAAATGACCGGTGATTGTTGCGTTTTCAAATTTCTCCGGCGTAGTGTGCACGGAAAACGATGCATTTTCAGAGTGAAACCTCCGTAGACGGAGCCTGAATATCGTGAAATTACCGAGCAGCTGCTGAGAAAAACGTAAACACACTTCGGTGTCTCACGTCAACTGCCATTTGGTGTGTAATCCATCAGTCACGTTTTGATGCCAGCAGCACTCGAAAAGCAAAATTATTAAAGTCACGTTTGAAGTCTTGAATAACGCAAATGATATTGAATCACGACGCTTTAATGGATTAAATGACGTTCACGAAAGGAAAATATTGAAATTGTAGTTTGTTTTAAGAGATCATTAAATTCGAATTACATTAGATGCAGTGATTTCTGCTCATAACAACAATTGATGTCACGAAACGAGATCACGAATGACAGAACGAGAGGATTAACGAAGCGTTTTCTTGGTCGGGTGTTGTCAAACTTTGGAAACTTGTCTTTCTTTTTAAACAGAATTTATTACAGAATTGCCACCGAGCTATTGTCCAACTCCATACTATGAATTCGACGCCATAATGTGTTGCTAAAGTCCACTCTCAAGCCTGACATGACAATGGCTTGGTGAATATTAGGCTCATAACGTCCGCCGTGGAACGGGCTCGTTCTCTTTTTCTGTGTGGCTGTAATCGGGGTGTTTTTAAGCTTTCAGCAACTGAATCACGCATCACGTTCACTAAACAGATAAATTAAATAGTTCGATTCCCCTACAAGGAAAAGATATACAGAACTGGCGCTCAAATTTGGCTTTAAGTGCAAATTTTTAATACTTTCAGCGGCTTTGAAAGGCAAAATTCTCTGTGCTCATTAGCTTTATATTTATCAAAAGACCTGAGTCACCGGGCTTGAGTCTCAAGGTAGAGTTTTGAAGCTGGAATATTTAACACTCAGTCTGGATAGATCCGACAGTATACGCCATGATGAAAACTTGGACTTAATTGGTAGAAATTAAGCAAAAAAATAGTAATAAACAGGGTTATTACCGTATTTGAAACGTTGCGCTTGAAATGAAAGACGTCTCGTATATTTTGCACAGAAAATAGATGATGGACTATAGATAAAAGGTAGTATTCCCCTGGTTCCCACTGTGCGGTACGTGACTTATTTCAGTGAACGTAAAAATAAAACAAACAGTCGGACACTGCGAAACTCAGTTTTGTTGTTGTTTTATTACAAAATGAATTATTAAAATATTTTGACAACTTTGTGCTTTGTTGTGGCTCGTTTATGCGTTTGCTGCTCTCAAATTTTATTGTTTTATCTTGCAAAGAAACGGGACTGTAAATATACTTTTGGTATCACTTTGGCAGGTGCATTCCGGGCAAAATTTTGTTTGATGGAGTTTTTACTTTTAATTGTTGGAGAAAATATAATAGAGGATTGCTTTGAATGTGTGAATGGCTGAAAATCAACCGGTCTTTGTTTTTGCGTCGTTAGCATGTTTTAAAAGATATGAAAAAAACAATTTTGCGTTAAAGTTTTCCACTTGTGAATATTCATTTGCCATTCGGAAGCCTTTAATATGTTTTTCAAACTTGAGTCAAGATCTTTTCTGTTTATTTTACGTAAGTATTCCCGATAAGATTTATTTTTAACGAGCTTACGAAAGATACTCGGAGTAGATCAAAATCAAATCTGCAATCGAGTTTTTTCAGATTTTTTTGATAAGTTGAACCTCATTAACGGCAAGTTGTAAACAGTGAAAAGTTATCCTCCATAGAAACAAAGACAAGAAGGTGCCAATAGTCTGATTCATAGCACACTGGGATTATTTGAGCAATTCAATTGTTTTATACGTTCTGAATGCTTTAGCCATTTCAACGCGTTATTGTGTGGTTCACTTTTCTTTGAGCGAAAGGGATACGCGAAAATACAAAGAGATGGATGTTTTTGTAATTTTTTTATTTATTTAACATTTGCCGCTGGTTAAAGTTCGTGATCAACGCTCGAAAGCCGACATACAAAAACACGTTCTCTCATCCGGCAGCCGGCGTTACGGCTCAGAGAGCACTTGTGTATTGAACGTGGGGTTTTAAATTCACGACTCACGTACAACACATCAGTTGATTCAAGTCACAGAGCGACACCGGCTGCATCTCGTTACGATGTTCAGCGACTCTCAAGACTCAGTTGTACCTGTTACCGAAGTCGTCGTCAGCGCGATTTTTTTATGTCTCATCAACATTGGAATAATCGTTGGCAATCTTCTGGTGTTGATTATCGTTTGGCGCACGTCGAAACTACACGAGCCCAATTATTTCTTCCTCTGTAGCCTCAGTGTTGCGGACCTGCTTGTGGGTTTAATTTACTGCCCGTTGCTGATTGTCAGTGTGGTAAAACAGTCCTGGGTGTTTGGGAATTTAATGTGCCATGTACATGCCGTGACTGTGAGCATATCATTGAATGCCTCCCTGATGAATCTTTGCGCGATTTCAGTGGACAGATATTATTTCATCACGAGACCTTTACGCTACAGAGACATCGTCACTCGTCGTAGAACTGTTTTCAGTATTGCGTTTGTGTGGGTTCATTCTGTTTTCTGGGCGATCGCGCCTTTATTTGGTTGGGGAGAGTACACTTACGAAGCCAGCACGGCCACATGCAAGCCGAATTGGAACGGGGAGGGACTCGTTGATAAATCATACGCACTTTGTTTAGCAGTTATTTGTTTCCTAGTTCCCGTTCTGGTAATGATTCTTGCATACGCAATGATCTACAAAACCGCTAGGAAACAGCTAAGGAACATTCAAATCCCAGGAGGTGTAACCAACAAACAATCCACAGAGAGAAATAAAGCTTCAAGAACCGTTCTCGTGATTATCGGGGTGTTTTTTCTTTGTTGGTCCGTTTATACCGCGGTTTCGTTGTGGAAACTTTTTGCTTCGTTAAGCGACCTCCCGCCTCGCCTAGTTCGTGTTGGACTTTACCTGGCTGTTTCAAACAGTTGCGTTAACTTTTACATCTACGCCATACGAGATAAAGTTTTCAGGAAAGGACTCAAGCGTCTGTTTGTGTTGTGTCAAAGTTTACGCGAAGAAGGGACTCGTTCGAATTTGAATCCCCCCGCGAAACCGAACCCAGGTCAGTCGCTCGACCATGATTTTCCCACGGCGGGCTCTCGACAGATTTTGGCACTTCAAACGACTGTTTGACAAGGCTCTTTCTCTGTGGGTTAAAAGATATTTTACTCATCATAATTCTGTGGGGGAGAAGTGACTGAGGCAGAACAAGAGACAGGAAGAAACGTCAAACAAGTCAAGTGCCAGACTTGAGCTGTCTTCTGCCGACAGGAAATTACGTCATTCTAAATTTCAGGCGCGCTTCTCCCTCTTCTTTTCTGCGTGTGACTCGTTTGTTGTTGGAGGCACGGATGAGGACTGCACTGAACATGTTCACTTGTGAAGACATAGGGGGATATAGAAGATTAACGTGATATGAACCGAGGAATGATGAATCCTGATTTTTATGATTTCTGAATTTTCTGTGGTGGCGATTTTTTTCGCCAGTCGCACTCGCTAATTTGTGATAGAGAAGAAGAACTACAGCTATCTCGAACGAAAAATGAGTAAGAAAAATGGTCGTAAAGGCGGGAGTTATTTATCGCCTGTAGTAAGCAAGAGAGTTTTATCTAGATCAACTCCCGTTGTTGTAGACTATTGCACAGAAAATTATCCAAGAGAAATTGCGCAGAAATATTAACCCTATTTGTGATATTGCCATTTACAAAAATCTATTCAGTACAAACACACAGCTTTTGATGACGTCCTTTACTTGTTCTTACAAAACGTTTTTCAGAGGTAAGAAGGTGCTCTGAAATTTTAAGTTTTTAGTCGGTGTTATAAATAGTACTTAAGCTTCTTCCTTCAGTGATATAAAGTCGTTCGCAAATTAGAAAGTACATCGAAGTATAAATAACCTACAAAGAGGTAACTAGGCTATTATTAGGACAGGTTAATTCTGCTTACCATGTCAATCAAATAATTCATCGACAATGTGACACTGATCCTAACACCAAATTCTCATATGTAACATTACAAGAAATGTATATCCACTGGTGAGGTGAATTGATTTTTAGATCTAGGGGCCTATGTTAAATAGTAATAAAATTCTGTTTTATCGCATTAATTTGTGTCAATTTTGTCCATGTTATAGATAACAATGTATTCGACGTTGTTCGTTTTAAAAATAAAAATGTCTTACTTGACTGGAATTCAAGAATTCCTACACTAGTAGAAAATAAATCTAAGTAAATAGGTTGCAGCCGCAAATTTCAAAACACGCCTGTCCATTACATGAAATAGCTCGTCTTTATACTGAACTTGTCGCTAAATTCAATCTTGTTCCCATTCTTTTCAATCACCTCAGTAATCGCTGACCGAGAAACGTGAAAACTCTGGGTTCCAAACTAAGGGATTTAAATTATTGAAAAGCTTTCCCATTGTTAAAAGTAAACTCCTACAAATTAAATTCTCGTTTGAGGCGTTACCACACCCCGCATGCATCACAATTTATTAAAACTTTAATTAAAGCAAAATGTACTCGTTTACGAACGTGGAACATTGCTATAAAAATTAGCCACAGCTGTTTCTTGTCTCTTTCCTTTAGTTTTAAACCTTCCTTGTACAGCTTGTTTCAGTTTCTAACCAAAAGTAAATCAATAATTCATCAAGCATCAGTTTTGAAGCGCGGGGGATTATGTTGTATTATCTCGCACCAAGCAGTTCGATTTTGTACAAAATGTTGCATCCCTTAAAGTTTAAATTGTCTTTTACTCTAGCTAACCTTCATGGACTGAGACATTTCCTTAATTTATCAGGCCAACATACATAAAGGAAGTCGACTTGTGTTGGAAAATTAATTTTATTGCTAAAGTAATAAAGCATTGAAGATAATTGGCATTTGTAGAGTTTTGGCAAAGTGTCTTCAATTATTCAGTCGGAAGATCGTGCGCTGGAAAATTAACCGAATCCATATGAGAATATTGTTTTAAGGATAAAATAAGACGTAGTCTTGAGGGGAATTTGCTAAAACAAAGAAACAAAGCGAGATTATGATAATTGTCAGAAATACACCGCAAAGCCAGTCTCTCTGATTCTATCTTCTCTGTCTATGGCAGTAAAACCAATCCTGAATCTTAAACTGAGTCAGAATTCAGTTCATCCAACTCAAAACGTTGATCGTTGGAGCTAAGAATCCACATTTTTCGGCTAAGAATCGCGGGACATATATAAACTTTATTTTTAATTAAAAACATGGATAATTTGATTGACCGGAAAAGGGACTATCGCCAGAATATTTTTCCACTGCAGAACAGTTTATCATTAAAATTCTCCTTCATTTCAGCTTGGGTTGTGTAAAAATATCGTAACGTAGAACGGCGCAAAATCTCATTGATAAACGATTTGACGTAGAAATTCTCTGGTTAAAAATGGTGAAATCGTTTCAGAGATTTAGAAAACACATGTTTTTCTGCGCTACGGATATATCTTTACGTATGATAAGCACACGTACGTGCGTCTTGTTGATAAATGTTGTGTTGTCTTGATAGCAAGTGGTTCGAGATCAATGAAAATGTTGCTATTGATAAAGACTCAAGATATCCCTTGCGATAAAATTTAGGGCTTACATTTTCTTTGACGAGTGAAGTGAAAAAGCTCGTTTCAGATATGACATGTATAACATTGAGTACGAATAAAACTGCGATGTGTTTTTCGATGGTATCATAATGTCAGGCTTCTTGTCGTATTCAGTCTAGCTAGGTTTAAAACTACATTAAAATTCGTTCAAATCTTTTAAAAAGCACAAAATCGTGGTGAAACGTATGCAGTTGAGTCTGTAAAAACCTGACGATCTTTTTTTACAATAAATCAGATTAAATAAAGGAGAAAGTTCCAAAGAGTGTTTAATAAAACATTATTTGCCGCGTCGCCTGTAAAGCTGTGGGTCGAGTCCTATGTAGACTGTTACGAAGAATCACGCCACTATTTGGCGGGAACATCTGGCGGGAAACGTATCCTAAGCGGTTTCTGAGACTCGTTCTTGAGATGTAACAGGAATTTGGTCAAAGTCGTCTGAACTTCTCTTCTCCTTATCCAGATTGTAGAAATAACTAAAGTTTGACACAATCACTGGAACAGGCAGGGCCAGGGTGAGCACTCCTGCGACTGCGCACAATGAACCAATCACCTTTCCCCATGGCGTAGTGGGCGCCTTGTCTCCGTATCCAACCTAATAAGCGCGTAATAACAAATGTTTCAATTTTCTGGTCATTTAATTTTGACAAAAAATGGAACATTCCGGAATCTACTTTCTACTCGTTGTGGTAAAATTTATAGGATAAGAATAGTTCTTTCACATCCGAAAATGAAAGACAGTAGTTGCTTGCGTTGTAAAAACGGAAAAATTTGCAAATTATCAATTTTTCTGAATAAAGACAATTATCTTTCAAAAGGATTACGTTAAATTAGACATTGCTTTGCCTCTTTATCTACGGTCGATGTATTTCCTGCGCAACCTAGATATGACTGATATTTTTCAGATAGGACTCATGTTTTTTCTCAAATTTCCCTTACTAGTAATGTAGCTCATATGAGCAGCTGATTCATAAGGGCAACGTTTTGTTTTGTGAAACGTAATTTTGGGCATAGCTTTCAATATAATTTTTCATAAGCAATGTTGAGTACTTTATTTTAATTTAATCATCTTGTTAGTATATTTTTTTTTTGTGGAAATAAAATTTCCTCTTACGACAGAAACAGAAATTGGCCGGAGACTATTATTCAAGAGCCGAGGACAAGATTTTTCACAAGAGAAGTTGAATTTTTCGTTTTGACTTGAAAACTCCACGAAAGACGCCTGAATTTAAATAGTTCGTGAACGCCAGCCATGATTTACCTTTGAACTATTAGACTGACTGATTAAAAAATATATTCGCATTCACTTATGTTCATATACTAAATGTTGATTTTCAAGCTTGTTCTACTTGGCGCCAGATAATCTCGGCGTGAGAAGTTAAAATGGAGAAATATGAGCAGAAATCGATACGAAGCAGGACTTATGATTCAAAACACAAGCCATTTTACTACAGCATTCGCTCTTGTTTATTGAAAGCTATATGTTTTCGCAGCGATTTGTGATTTTGCCTTCGTTCGCGTAGAATAAAATTAATCAATGGATTGGTATTCGCTTTCGGAACCAGCAGGAAAAATAATAAGTGTTCTCGTCACCTTCGAAAATGAAATGCTAAATGTTATGAATTGGGAAATTAGACGTGCTTAATGAGAGATGGAAAATACGCAATCAGTAAAATGGCTTGCATTGCGCGTGAATGATGAATGCTACCTTGCTTTTTGAACTTTAGTTATCAAATGCGTATTTTTGTTTTCACTTTTAATAGAGGCGTTTCATGTTTCCATGACTAGAATTTGCAAAATGTATGTTGTATTATTCTTCTCTGTGTTTATTAGCTTTTTATATTCAAAGTGTACACCGACGGACAATATGCAAATTCGTTTTTCTTTTCATAAATTGAAGTGAATGACCTTCAACCGCATATTGTGGTATCGACAAGTGTCGTCCTTTTCAAACATGCTAGTTGCTCCCCTGACGTAATAAAAGTTGGAGTATAACTCGAAAGCAATCAATTTTCAATCTACACATTGTTGTGACTGGACGCCAGTCGTGGATTTTTCTATTTCATTAGGCCGTACATACAAAGGCGCTTTTTTCGCACAATTATCAGAGAAATATAATCAATGAATACAAGAAGAGGAAAATATTTAGAACTCCTAAAAACTTACCGTTGTCATAGTAACCACAGACCACCAAAATGCTTCAGGGATGCTGCCAAAATTAGCACTCTCTGCGTAGTAAACTCCGCTTGAAAAGATTATAACTCCCATGAGTAGGAAAAAAGACAATAGAAGTAATTCACGGAGACTTGCCTTCAATGTCATGCCGAGAATCTTTAATCCTCGGTAATGCCTGGACAGTTTGAAGATTCGAAACACGCGAACCAGCCGTAATATGCGAAAGAAAGCGACATAAGAAGTATTGCTAGTTTCACTGCTCCCGCCAGCTGACAATCCCAGAATAATGTAATATGGCAATATAGCGATCAAGTCAATAATGTTTAGAAACGATCGAACGAACTTTAACTTCTGTGGAGCCGCCAGCAAACGAGCAACATATTCAAAAGTGAACCAGGCTACACAGAAAATTTCTAAGCCGTAAAGTGCAGAAATCTTGTCATTGCGACTTTCACGGAAGCGCGGCAGAGTCTCAATGCAAAATATTACTATGGACAATAAAATTACCAACACGGACCAAATGGCCACTATTTGCGCTGGTAAGGACGAATGAGGCAACTCCATAACTTGCCATATTTTTCTTTGGATGGGGTTCTCTGGTAGCGGGCCTGAATCTTGATCAACCACGTTCATTTCCATCGTCTTAAAACGTTCAATAACATCCTCTCCCAACTGAAAAAATTGAATTTCGTCGAAGAAGGTCTTGCGGTCAATCTCTACAGGCCTGAGCAGCTTTCCGCGTGATTGATAAAAATATAAGATGGCATCGAACGCCACGCGATTTCTGTCGAAGAAAAATTCCCTTTTCTTCGAATCATAGTATTTTTCGCGCTTTTTAGGCGAGCCCAACAGGGAATTGGGGAAGCGCGACAATGTCGATTCCAAGGTTTCAAAAATCATTCCACTGACGTTGATTTTGACCCGTACTCCACCTCTTTTCGTCGATCTTGCAAGAAGCGGATATACGGATATTTTATCCGGACGTAAATATTTCGCGGCTTGTTCGAAAGCGCCTGTACCGAGATCGCTGTTAAAACGGCCTCGAGGAGATCTTCCTTCAGGCGAGTATCTTCCCCGTGAAGTCGAAGACGTGCAAGAGCGGCCGTCGATTGAATGATGTCGATATCTGCGGCCGCCTTCTCCTCCTTCAAGCCCCTCTGCGTTTAATCCTTGGGCACCCGAAATAAGAACAGCTTCCATCGTTTTACTTTTTTTACTTCACGGGCAAAACAAAGTTTTCAATCGTTAAATAGTTTTCGTTTTTTCCGTGCAGTTTTTCCCGGCGAGGAAGAGCTCAGAATCAAAGATGACTTCTTGAACGCTAATTTCTGTTTTGCTAAGAAAACCGCACAGATGGCGCGAAAGATGGTTTTCCATAAATGCTCGCTTTACGTCCAACGAGGTAATTACACAAATCCCCCAAATCAATTGAATTCTCAGCGACTGGGTAGCCCACCGTAAAAAGAATATTATTTGCCTAAGAAATAGGCGCCCATTTGCCCTTTGAGGCGCTACCAACATTACAATATAATGGAAATTCGCGGGAGTTTATGCCAATATCATGGGCCTAGTCACGTGATCCGATGATTGCCTTCCTTTTTAACACAGCTTGTTGATTCACCTGTCCTTGGCGCGGATTCGTCGACTCCTTTTCACTTGCAGCGGGATGAAACTGTTCATCTCTTTCAAGGCCGAGGTGGGAAAAAAGTGATCGGCCTACTGAAATAGCATGTTTTCCGTCGATTTTGTTTACGTTATCAAAATGTCGTCGATTCCGGATATTTTAAGTTTCCTGTTACGAAAATGAACTTTTGGGCGATCGATCTTTTTGACGGCATGGGCTTTGTTTGAAAATGAATATTTTATGCTGAGGGATTATTTATCTCTTTAGCGAAAACCTTAAAGAAAGCTTTTTATGGCAACGATTTAAGTTGCGATGTAGCTTGCCACAATAGTATGTCCACGACAATGATCTTTTACTGAAACATGGAAAAAACACAAAATAATACAATCGCGACTGTCTAAGTTATGTTTGTGGGATTCAGATCCAGTCGTTCGATTTTCCGTTTTTTGAGAGTTGAGTCAACAGATACTGTCACGTCTGTTTTGTTTCGCTGGTTCTCTTTATTAATTCTGAAACGCGGTTGTTGACTCTTCAGATACAAAAACAGAGCCAGAGGCAATATTTTTACCATTTCCTTTGATTATATTGATTGATCTCATTTTCAAGTTCTGCAGTAACTTTTTGCCATTGGCACGAGAAACAAATCCAGCAAATAAATTACAATCGTCTTTGAAACAACGATTTATAATTAGCTTTCATATTACCAGGTTGGCCAGAATTCAGCTCATGAAAAATGATCAAAGAAAATTGCAGTCCTTATAGATATACATGTGTAACTTTAATTTGTGCACAAATGACGCTAGGAAATAAAAATTTAAACGAGTCTTCTTTCGTGAACTGATATCAATATTCTGATGCCATATGAATTGCAAAATCAGTCGGGAAAAATTGTCACCTTGGGAATCATCGAATCCAAAGTTAATTAGAAGGACAGTGAGTGTTTTTCTTATGTTTCAGGGAATACATGTAATACTAAAGAAGTTCTTACCTATGATATTAGGAATTAGAGCTGGCAATGGGTTTAGAACAGCGCTTAATTCAATTAGTTAAAAAGTTCCTGGCTTTGAATGTACATAGATTGCGGTTCTACAAGACGAATGTCACTGGCAGGTTTCTATCTCCATGGCAACTGGTCATGTCAGCTGAAGATAAGCGTCTTTGTTATTAAGTCAAGGCAGGAGCCATAATCGGGGACGGAGACTGTAAGCGCGCGCCATTTCTAGTATTGGGGCCGTCCCTATGATATGGGACAACAATTCTATTTTTAGAACAAATTGCGCCATCGCCTGCGGCACACGCGCGTACATGCNAAATAAAGGAGAAAGTTCCAAAGAGTGTTTAATAAAACATTATTTGCCGCGTCGCCTGTAAAGCTGTGGGTCGAGTCCTATGTAGACTGTTACGAAGAATCACGCCACTATTTGGCGGGAACATCTGGCGGGAAACGTATCCTAAGCGGTTTCTGAGACTCGTTCTTGAGATGTAACAGGAATTTGGTCAAAGTCGTCTGAACTTCTCTTCTCCTTATCCAGATTGTAGAAATAACTAAAGTTTGACACAATCACTGGAACAGGCAGGGCCAGGGTGAGCACTCCTGCGACTGCGCACAATGAACCAATCACCTTTCCCCATGGCGTAGTGGGCGCCTTGTCTCCGTATCCAACCTAATAAGCGCGTAATAACAAATGTTTCAATTTTCTGGTCATTTAATTTTGACAAAAAATGGAACATTCCGGAATCTACTTTCTACTCGTTGTGGTAAAATTTATAGGATAAGAATAGTTCTTTCACATCCGAAAATGAAAGACAGTAGTTGCTTGCGTTGTAAAAACGGAAAAATTTGCAAATTATCAATTTTTCTGAATAAAGACAATTATCTTTCAAAAGGATTACGTTAAATTAGACATTGCTTTGCCTCTTTATCTACGGTCGATGTATTTCCTGCGCAACCTAGATATGACTGATATTTTTCAGATAGGACTCATGTTTTTTCTCAAATTTCCCTTACTAGTAATGTAGCTCATATGAGCAGCTGATTCATAAGGGCAACGTTTTGTTTTGTGAAACGTAATTTTGGGCATAGCTTTCAATATAATTTTTCATAAGCAATGTTGAGTACTTTATTTTAATTTAATCATCTTGTTAGTATATTTTTTTTTTGTGGAAATAAAATTTCCTCTTACGACAGAAACAGAAATTGGCCGGAGACTATTATTCAAGAGCCGAGGACAAGATTTTTCACAAGAGAAGTTGAATTTTTCGTTTTGACTTGAAAACTCCACGAAAGACGCCTGAATTTAAATAGTTCGTGAACGCCAGCCATGATTTACCTTTGAACTATTAGACTGACTGATTAAAAAATATATTCGCATTCACTTATGTTCATATACTAAATGTTGATTTTCAAGCTTGTTCTACTTGGCGCCAGATAATCTCGGCGTGAGAAGTTAAAATGGAGAAATATGAGCAGAAATCGATACGAAGCAGGACTTATGATTCAAAACACAAGCCATTTTACTACAGCATTCGCTCTTGTTTATTGAAAGCTATATGTTTTCGCAGCGATTTGTGATTTTGCCTTCGTTCGCGTAGAATAAAATTAATCAATGGATTGGTATTCGCTTTCGGAACCAGCAGGAAAAATAATAAGTGTTCTCGTCACCTTCGAAAATGAAATGCTAAATGTTATGAATTGGGAAATTAGACGTGCTTAATGAGAGATGGAAAATACGCAATCAGTAAAATGGCTTGCATTGCGCGTGAATGATGAATGCTACCTTGCTTTTTGAACTTTAGTTATCAAATGCGTATTTTTGTTTTCACTTTTAATAGAGGCGTTTCATGTTTCCATGACTAGAATTTGCAAAATGTATGTTGTATTATTCTTCTCTGTGTTTATTAGCTTTTTATATTCAAAGTGTACACCGACGGACAATATGCAAATTCGTTTTTCTTTTCATAAATTGAAGTGAATGACCTTCAACCGCATATTGTGGTATCGACAAGTGTCGTCCTTTTCAAACATGCTAGTTGCTCCCCTGACGTAATAAAAGTTGGAGTATAACTCGAAAGCAATCAATTTTCAATCTACACATTGTTGTGACTGGACGCCAGTCGTGGATTTTTCTATTTCATTAGGCCGTACATACAAAGGCGCTTTTTTCGCACAATTATCAGAGAAATATAATCAATGAATACAAGAAGAGGAAAATATTTAGAACTCCTAAAAACTTACCGTTGTCATAGTAACCACAGACCACCAAAATGCTTCAGGGATGCTGCCAAAATTAGCACTCTCTGCGTAGTAAACTCCGCTTGAAAAGATTATAACTCCCATGAGTAGGAAAAAAGACAATAGAAGTAATTCACGGAGACTTGCCTTCAATGTCATGCCGAGAATCTTTAATCCTCGGTAATGCCTGGACAGTTTGAAGATTCGAAACACGCGAACCAGCCGTAATATGCGAAAGAAAGCGACATAAGAAGTATTGCTAGTTTCACTGCTCCCGCCAGCTGACAATCCCAGAATAATGTAATATGGCAATATAGCGATCAAGTCAATAATGTTTAGAAACGATCGAACGAACTTTAACTTCTGTGGAGCCGCCAGCAAACGAGCAACATATTCAAAAGTGAACCAGGCTACACAGAAAATTTCTAAGCCGTAAAGTGCAGAAATCTTGTCATTGCGACTTTCACGGAAGCGCGGCAGAGTCTCAATGCAAAATATTACTATGGACAATAAAATTACCAACACGGACCAAATGGCCACTATTTGCGCTGGTAAGGACGAATGAGGCAACTCCATAACTTGCCATATTTTTCTTTGGATGGGGTTCTCTGGTAGCGGGCCTGAATCTTGATCAACCACGTTCATTTCCATCGTCTTAAAACGTTCAATAACATCCTCTCCCAACTGAAAAAATTGAATTTCGTCGAAGAAGGTCTTGCGGTCAATCTCTACAGGCCTGAGCAGCTTTCCGCGTGATTGATAAAAATATAAGATGGCATCGAACGCCACGCGATTTCTGTCGAAGAAAAATTCCCTTTTCTTCGAATCATAGTATTTTTCGCGCTTTTTAGGCGAGCCCAACAGGGAATTGGGGAAGCGCGACAATGTCGATTCCAAGGTTTCAAAAATCATTCCACTGACGTTGATTTTGACCCGTACTCCACCTCTTTTCGTCGATCTTGCAAGAAGCGGATATACGGATATTTTATCCGGACGTAAATATTTCGCGGCTTGTTCGAAAGCGCCTGTACCGAGATCGCTGTTAAAACGGCCTCGAGGAGATCTTCCTTCAGGCGAGTATCTTCCCCGTGAAGTCGAAGACGTGCAAGAGCGGCCGTCGATTGAATGATGTCGATATCTGCGGCCGCCTTCTCCTCCTTCAAGCCCCTCTGCGTTTAATCCTTGGGCACCCGAAATAAGAACAGCTTCCATCGTTTTACTTTTTTTACTTCACGGGCAAAACAAAGTTTTCAATCGTTAAATAGTTTTCGTTTTTTCCGTGCAGTTTTTCCCGGCGAGGAAGAGCTCAGAATCAAAGATGACTTCTTGAACGCTAATTTCTGTTTTGCTAAGAAAACCGCACAGATGGCGCGAAAGATGGTTTTCCATAAATGCTCGCTTTACGTCCAACGAGGTAATTACACAAATCCCCCAAATCAATTGAATTCTCAGCGACTGGGTAGCCCACCGTAAAAAGAATATTATTTGCCTAAGAAATAGGCGCCCATTTGCCCTTTGAGGCGCTACCAACATTACAATATAATGGAAATTCGCGGGAGTTTATGCCAATATCATGGGCCTAGTCACGTGATCCGATGATTGCCTTCCTTTTTAACACAGCTTGTTGATTCACCTGTCCTTGGCGCGGATTCGTCGACTCCTTTTCACTTGCAGCGGGATGAAACTGTTCATCTCTTTCAAGGCCGAGGTGGGAAAAAAGTGATCGGCCTACTGAAATAGCATGTTTTCCGTCGATTTTGTTTACGTTATCAAAATGTCGTCGATTCCGGATATTTTAAGTTTCCTGTTACGAAAATGAACTTTTGGGCGATCGATCTTTTTGACGGCATGGGCTTTGTTTGAAAATGAATATTTTATGCTGAGGGATTATTTATCTCTTTAGCGAAAACCTTAAAGAAAGCTTTTTATGGCAACGATTTAAGTTGCGATGTAGCTTGCCACAATAGTATGTCCACGACAATGATCTTTTACTGAAACATGGAAAAAACACAAAATAATACAATCGCGACTGTCTAAGTTATGTTTGTGGGATTCAGATCCAGTCGTTCGATTTTCCGTTTTTTGAGAGTTGAGTCAACAGATACTGTCACGTCTGTTTTGTTTCGCTGGTTCTCTTTATTAATTCTGAAACGCGGTTGTTGACTCTTCAGATACAAAAACAGAGCCAGAGGCAATATTTTTACCATTTCCTTTGATTATATTGATTGATCTCATTTTCAAGTTCTGCAGTAACTTTTTGCCATTGGCACGAGAAACAAATCCAGCAAATAAATTACAATCGTCTTTGAAACAACGATTTATAATTAGCTTTCATATTACCAGGTTGGCCAGAATTCAGCTCATGAAAAATGATCAAAGAAAATTGCAGTCCTTATAGATATACATGTGTAACTTTAATTTGTGCACAAATGACGCTAGGAAATAAAAATTTAAACGAGTCTTCTTTCGTGAACTGATATCAATATTCTGATGCCATATGAATTGCAAAATCAGTCGGGAAAAATTGTCACCTTGGGAATCATCGAATCCAAAGTTAATTAGAAGGACAGTGAGTGTTTTTCTTATGTTTCAGGGAATACATGTAATACTAAAGAAGTTCTTACCTATGATATTAGGAATTAGAGCTGGCAATGGGTTTAGAACAGCGCTTAATTCAATTAGTTAAAAAGTTCCTGGCTTTGAATGTACATAGATTGCGGTTCTACAAGACGAATGTCACTGGCAGGTTTCTATCTCCATGGCAACTGGTCATGTCAGCTGAAGATAAGCGTCTTTGTTATTAAGTCAAGGCAGGAGCCATAATCGGGGACGGAGACTGTAAGCGCGCGCCATTTCTAGTATTGGGGCCGTCCCTATGATATGGGACAACAATTCTATTTTTAGAACAAATTGCGCCATCGCCTGCGGCACACGCGCGTACATGCTACGCGAGGATTTTTGCGGATGTAGCGCGGGGAAATGGCGTCCGAAATTCCCGAAATGTTTGATGCTTTTAGCCTACAACTCAATACTTTCATGTCTGTTGGAATTTTGCTTCAGTGTTTTCGTCGTAAGCTGCTCCAGTTTGAGTGAGGTAAGACAGTGTCTAATTTAGTTATGTGCCGCTTTATATCACTGACCAAGTTGTGCTCCGCAGCTTCTTTTACAAGGGCTCCACATTACT